TATTGTTGCATAATTCCAGAAATTAATTCTGCGAAGATAGATATCAAGGGAAAAGGCGTGAAAGAGAGAACTATTCAAAAAAGAAACAAAAAACCTGCCCCTTGTTTCAAGACATAGAATAAGAGAATTGAAATGGAAAACAAAACACAGATAAGGCTTATTTATTAGATGACGATTCAAAGATTTGCCATGAGAGGAGAAGATGAAACAGGACACATCTAACACAAAATGAACATCAGTAGTTTCAATTGAAATCTATTCGGGTCATTTGAAGCACGACTACATCTGTGTCACGCCTTGCACATAACTGTTCTGTTTATCCGGTCGGAAAACATTGAGAAAAGGAAAAAAGACGGAGAAGGATGTATATTTGCATAAAGTTCCTGGACTTGAATTTTAATTGAATGTAGATGTTACGGACTAGTTTGATTTCCATTTTTGGAAGGTACAGGTGGGAGTTGAGAATCCGGACTTGATTGTTCTGATGCCATGAAAGTGTGATGTCTGGTGTACAGTATCGGTCAATGAAATATGTAAAAAAAAGTATTTTTCAGTTTATTTTCGGCCATTTTGACCAGTTTCAGAAGTCTGTAGCTTGGCTGTCAAGTGTCCGTCCCTTAAAATGTTGGAGTATGTAAAACAGACTTAGATTGAAAGGTTTGAACTCACAAGAAATTTTCGAAATTCCTAGTTTCTCAACTATCTGCCAATGTCTGAAAGACACTCTTTTTGGCCAATTTCTGAATTGAAAATGGGGGAAAAGAGGTGTCTTTCAAAAATCGGCAAATAGATGAAAAACTAGGAATTTTCAAAAAAAATCTGTGTATGAAAAGTTGGCTGAAAAAATCTGAAAAACCTCGTTTTTGTATACCCTATTACCGATACTGTATGTTACCTCAACCAGCATTTTTTCAGGTACGTGGACATGATGACACCAACTTCAATCCTTGAGTACACCAAAGTCATCATCGCTTCTTTGGACTATACCAATGAAGGATTGACACGTGTGATTCTTCGAAAAGCTCTCACGTCTACATCGGAAGCATCCCGAAAATGGACGACTCGATATATGGCAGTCCTCGCTTCTTCTGATCTTCCGATGTTTTCCGATTGGGGAATCCAGTTGATGTTAAGACAGTTAGCAGACGAATCATCCAAGGTGGTCAGACACACTCTGCGAATTCTGAATAGATGGCTTCCCGAGCACCCGTCGAGAAATTTGAGAAAAGTCGAATGGTCGTTATTTGGAGAAGCAGGAGATCTTTTGAAGGCTCACATCTTTGCGATGGAATCAGAATGTGCAAATGATGAAAATGAAGTTAGAGATGTGACCAGATTCTGGATGAAGGAGTTTAACAAGACATATCTGAATATTATTGATGAGGCGATGAAAGAAATGATGTTCCATGTGAAGAGAAGTATTGACGGAAGCTTCTCAAGATCCAGTTCTGATCGTCCAGACACTTCTCTTGGTGTTCATGCTCCATTGCATCTTTTCGCAGCTCTCGGAGGTCACGAAACGGGAAGAAGAATACTGATAGATGAAAATGTGTGTGAAGATTTATTGGCAATTATCAAAAATGGAAAATGTTTCGAGGAAATAAAATCAAGTCTTCTGGCAATTGCTAGTCTTGGGAGTACCGATGGAGGATTTGAGATTCTTCCTCTTGACGCAGTGCCAACTGTTCTGAAAATCGCTGAAGAGCATGTTGTTCTAACAGTTCGTGGTATCGCATTCTGGGCGCTTGCTACATTTTCCCAATGTGTAGAAGGAGCGAAAAGGTTGGCAGCATTCGGATGGGAATCGAATCGATTCAGATATGCAATGGATATTGCAAAGGGAAAAGTATCAGAGGATGAACTGATGTTAAACAGTCAAACAGGTGGAACCGTTGCTGGAAGTGTTAGTTCATCATGGAGACCTTCGAGAAAAATTACTATTCAGCATAATCGGAACTCTTCAATGTTAGATGTAAGTTTCCCAAATTTATTTGTAAATCAATTAAATTTCTACTTCAGAGTCAAATCAATGTAAAGCAAAATCGTGCGAAATCTGAAAGTGCCGTATCGAGAAGAGGGCATAGCAAGGGACGACCGAGAAGCCAATCGGAAGGAGATATTGAGGAAAAAACACCAAAAAGGGAGTCCAGATTGGATTCTTTTCTCAGTCATCGGTTGTGGAATAGTGAGAAGTATCTGTATAAAAGTAGTGGAAATTCAGAGTGAGTCATTTCTTATCACAGTTATCACCAAGTAAATTTTACAGTAGCTCCAGCATTCCGTATCACAAACGAACTGGCACCAACTCTAGTTCCGGTTACCATATCCAGGAAGACGCTGCCCTTGTCGTCTTCTCATCTTCTAATCAGAATCCAGCTGATGACCCAATTGCCAAGTCAGCAGCCACATCAAGAATGTCAACGGACCGTCGAAGAGCCAACACTACGAATTCGTTGTTCGAAGAGGAGGAGGCTCCGAAAACAAGATCATCGACGGTCGCCAGATGCATTCGAGATGGATTGAAGATTACAAGTGATGAGTTGGAAGCAGAAGGAGTGCTAGCTGATACTATAATGGAACCTCACTTTTCGTGTCGATTGAGAGAAAAATATCATTTGACTCCATTTAGAGTTCGTGCGTGTTTGCATATCAATCGACATGTTGGAGATTCGGTTAGATACGTTTTTATGACAAGAGAAGAGGTAGGTTCAATAGAAACTCACAAAGACAAAAAAGTATTGCAAATTTCAGGAACGACACTTTGCCGACTACCGCCGTCAAGTACTACATGATCCATGGCTCTATAATGAGCTTCGAAAAGAAGACAACGCGGTGAAGAAAACTATCAATGTAGTTCCTCTTCAAACCGTTGCACTACCAACAGAAATTGAGATAATGTGTGGGAATATCTTCCCAGCAAAGCCTAAATCAGATCCAATATTTTCATTCCACGAGAATGATGATTCGGCAGAAGTAGAAGATCGCGGCGCCAGAACTGGCCATGGTAGAAGCGGAATTCACATCCAACCACACTCAGCGTATCGTTGTTTCCATTGCAGTAGTAATGAGGATACAGGTGAGAATTTAAAATTATAGCTTCGAAAAACACATTTTTCAGTGAGAACCTATCCACACCCAGATGCTCCGATGCTCCGGAAAGAAGTTCTGAGCCAAGTTGATATGTTGGAAATCAAGGAATATCCAGCGAAAAGATTAATTGGACTCCGTCTCTACCACCCTTGGCTATTTGAATGGCCTTGTATGTATGCTGATGTTTTGGAACTTCTTGATGAATATCGTTTCAAACCCCATTCGAGAGCTTTTCTACAACAAATATTCTATGATGCTCTTTTAATCTAATCAGTGTGTTTTATCCATGACTTTTTGTGATTTTAGTACTTGTTTCAGCTGATGTGATTGTGTCTGATTGTGATTAGAAAGAGTGCGTGTTTTTGTGAAGGATCATTCATGTTGAACAGTTAAAGAAAAGTTGTACTATTTTTGTGTAGAGGACAGAATTAAGTTTGAATTTCTGAATAAATGTGGTTTAGAATCGGGAATCCTTATGGGAAAATTGTCGGATATGAAATGGATTACTGTAGGAAAAAAATTATATAATCAAAACGTTTACTTTTTTACTCCGGTAGCGTAGATTCTCTCCACATGCAGTGTTTTCTGTAATAGAAGTCTATTAAGATTGAAGAATAGAAGCCCATATTCTTCTACTAAAGAAGCTACGGTAATTACTCTCCTCACTTGAATCTATCTATAATTTTTAAAGAATATTGACTCTAAACAGCTGGCAATATAATTCATTTACATTCACAATAGTTGGCGTTCTAGAACATTTTTCCCTGGAGCACATGTCGGTTAGGTCCGGTACACCGGTCCAGCAGGAATCGGAGTGTAATTGGTTGCGAGTTTAAGAGGAACAGACCAGAATATGTATTTTCAAGATACGGGAGAATTTGAACTCGAGTGCTATGAACAGAATACAGCTAATCCAGAAAGAACCGAACTGTGGCCAAACAGAAACTTTCGTGTGAGATTCTACGAGGAACCAAGAGAACAAGGTTTGCAATGTGGTGAAATTTTTCTAAGAGAAAGCAATTGAAGAGGTTTTGATATAATATTTAGTTTATTGATAGAAAAAAGTTATAATATTAGAAAAACAAATACAAGTAAAACACCGAAAGAAAGATAAACACAGAAACCGTTAATATTAGGTTGTTCAATAAGTCTTTGACACTTTTACTTCGGTCTATGTCGCTTATCCTATTTTGGATTTTTTCCAATTCTGTTTTCCTATTTATTAACATCACACATCGCATTTTCCAGGCACTATAAGAAATTTCCCCCAAACAGTGTAATGGCCGAGAACCAGCTCGATCAACTGCACATACTCAAAAGGTGTGTTTTGTCGATGTTTCTTCTCTCTCTCTAGAGCAACGAACCCTGGCGAACAAGATCCGACGTATTAGATGTAGGCACCATCTCTTGAACCACCATTAAGTTTTGGTTAAAAATATTTGGAGAAGGGAACTATAATCTAGAACATCAACCAATTCCGAAATTCCCTAGTCTCAGTATGGATGACGATATTTCGATGTTACTGAAGGAAGAGCCCCGAACTATTTCACGTGCAGTATCTTTGACAGTCCACCATCCCAATACATCGGTATCCAATAATGTTCACCAAACGGGAAGAGCTGAGGGAGTCGGTCGAATCGTTCCATACATTTTGACGGGATTACAGAAAAAGGTACGATGTGACCTGTCACTTTCACTCTGCACCAGGGAACCGACGAGGGACTGGATCAACAAAATATATATTGTAGGCTTTGAACGGGTACTGTATGTCAACCATGCCAGAAAGCACCAATGGGTCCCTGCAGAAGAAACGGCAGAATCTGACCCAAAAGGGAAGCTTCAAGAAAAAATCGGATTTTTTCGATTTGGTTAGACAGTGCTGGAGTAATATCTCGCAAGCTGATTCCAGAGTTCGGGAATGTTATCCAAATAATATCAAAGAATTGCGTTTCTATTCTGTCGTCTGATATTCGTTGTTACCTATGTGGAAGGTATAATTTAATCCTATCCAGACCTTTTTCTCCCTTATGATCGAGAGGTAAGAAACAAAACTGAAAAATTGTCCAAAACGAATGGAAACTTCCTTGCAGAAAAATCCAAATCATCCAATTTCTGTTCGAATGTTCCAAGACTGCGACAATTTATTTGTGATTAGGTCTGAGATTTTGCATGCTATAAATATTTTGAATCCAAATTCCAATGAATACAAGGATATCAATGGAAAACTTCTCACACGGAACTACGGATCGATTTGAATTCAGAGATTAAATCAAGAAAATCGATTTTCTTTTAGTCCCCATTCAACGTACCAAACATGCAGCTATCCCAATTCAAACACCTTTTGGAGACCACTGCATTCTGGCGGCAGATGCTCTTTTTGAAATTCTCAATCGATTGATTTTCTGTCATCGAATTTTCCAGAAGTTTCAGGAATCCACGTGGCCAGTTCTTTCGGCACATTTAGCTCAACTATCAGAATTCTTCAGTACAAATGAGGTATTTCATTTGTATTATTTTCAGAAAAATAATTTTTTAGAAATCTCCGTTCTTTGTTACCATGGGGAAAATAGAATCGATTGAAGAATCAATAATCAATTCTCTTGAAAATTACAAAAAAATACCCGCAAACTCAGTTCGGAATGCCAAAAAAGACGGATTCACTGTGAAGAACTTGAGAAATGAGCTCGTGAATCTAGGAGTCGCATCACTGTTTCCAGAGATTCAGGAGTATGCAGAAGCGGTGTATTCAGAAGTTTTCAAACTCAAAAAACAGGAATTTCTACGGACTTGTGATCTTTTTGACGCAGTTGAAAAGTGCCTGCTCCTCTGTATCTTCAAGAGATTCCCAAATGTAAATTACTATGAAGCGATCAAGTATTTGAATATTTGTTTCAGCTCCAATTGTTTCTTCATACTACAGATGAAACAGAGAGTTTTCGAATTTTCAGGGCGCATATATCGAATGGAAGAAAGTGGAAATAATGATTTCTATATTCCGAAATCACCGCTTGTTTAAAAAATATCAACATAAATACGCTCCATTTCAACGACTACAAATCGAGATAAATGGTATGATATCGATGGAAATGTTCTTGGCAGAAATGACCAAACAAAAATTCGATATCCACCTTCGAGAAAACATGCGTAATAAGAAGTTTATCACAATTTTGCAATGTTACGATTGGTATCTGAATGCCTGTTTGCAAGATTTAAAAGACTAGAAGAAGATACTTTTGACGTAGTGAAAGTGTTAAAAGAAGAGATTTCGTCTAAGATTCCGGTAGACACGAAGTTCTTAGAATCGATGAAACCGAAGGAATATCCCGTTGAAAGTGAGTCTGTTTTCGTCTCGGATACATTTTGAAAAATAGATATTTCAGAATTTATCAATAGTTGGGCAGAAAATAGGGAAGATGATGTTGATAAAAAGAAAAAGAAGAAGAAAAGTGCGAAGAAGAAGTTGACATGAATCAATCGAAGTGCTGTACAAAGTGTTTGAGAACCAGCGAAATGTGTAATGAAGCTAAAAAGGAGCTGAAAATGACACAGAATAAGCTGGAAAAGTATGAAAAGAAGGCGAAAAGAACGGAAGAAGTGGAGATTCAGATGAGAAAAATGGAGGTTGAAATGAAGAAAATGAAAAAGGAAATGAAAGAGAGAGAGAGAGAGTTGGAGGTGGAAAAGAAGCAGAAAAATATTGAAGAGCTAGAGTCAAAAGTATCCAAGCTAGAAGCAAATGAGATCAGGTTGAATGTGAAAAAGTTGTTTTTGAAAGATTCTGGAATTTTAAGAACGAATTTTCAGTCTAGACATCAACCAAAATGAAATGCAGACTCAAATAGTTGATCTAACATCTCAATTGGAGGATAAGAATCTGAAAATTGAAGAATTAAAAGATCATGTCAATCAGTTGAATCGCAGAGAGAAAATTTCGAATAACAAGATTTCAAAGAAAGAGAATCATGTTAAAAAGTGGAGTTTTCAATCAACTTTTGATTCAAAATCTGTTTTCCAGACTCCAAGAAAAGAATCAAGAATTATTGATCCGTAATTCGCACCTAGAACAAAGCAATATGAATCTTCTAGAAGAAATCACAGCGATTTCAAGAGAAGGTCTTGGTTCTCCGGAGGATCCTAAGAATCGATTATTGAGATTGGAGAAGATTTGGAATCGTATTCTCATGGATATCAATTGAAACATTCGAAGGAAATGGTTGAAAAGTGGGTTTTTGTCTCTGAAAATTTCAAAAAACTCGCTGGAAAATCTAAAAAAAAGACCTCGAAATTTACAGATGGAAATCCTGCACGGATTCAGTCACAATTCATCAAATCGCCGATTATGAAAAAGATCAATATGAAGGAAAAATGATGAAATATGTACATGAAGTGGAAATGAATATTCAAAAAATCAAGACAGTTAAAGACTGTTCTATCGTAACTCCGCTTCCAGAACAACCTGCATTTTCCAGTCGATTTATAAAACACTTCTGATAACATGATAAACACTTTATCAGTGTAGTCGAGTGTCAAAATATAATTCTGTTTTGGGAATTTGAGTTTACTATGTGCGTTGAAGATTTCTCAATATCCAGCTTTCACGCTATTCGACAAAAAAATTGTTTGAGATGTATTGCGTGGACTCAACAAGTTCTTGTAATTTTAAAAGCAGTGTTAACCATTTACACGTGAATTTCCAGCATTTTGTCTTATCAGTTTAAGAGATCTGGGGGAAAGATCTGGAGCAGAGATAAGAAATCGCTATAAAAGGAAATGGAATCTAGAAGAATCTCCATCGAGTATTACACTCCATAAAATCGCCATGGCTCAATCCGTCCCACCAGGAGACATCCAAACCCAACCAAACGCCAAGATCGTCTTCAATGCTCCATACGACGACAAACACACCTACCACATCAAGGTGATCAACTCGTCCGCCCGTCGCATTGGATACGGTATCAAGACCACCAACATGAAACGTCTTGGAGTCGATCCACCATGTGGAGTTCTCGACCCAAAGGAGGCTGTTCTCCTCGCCGTCTCTTGCGATGCTTTCGCCTTCGGACAGGAGGTACACTTGCTTCGATAGATGATTTGTATCTTACTCTAATTCTAATTTCAGGACACCAACAATGACCGTATCACCGTTGAATGGACCAACACCCCAGACGGTGCCGCCAGCAATTCCGTCGTGAGTGGTTCCAAGGAGACGGAATGGTTCGCCGCAAGAACTTGCCAATCGAGTACAACCCATAATTGGTCACAATTGATGTATTGAGCTCTTTTGTAATTGTTGTCAAAAAAGTTTCATATCTGATTTTCTTTATTTATTCAGTTTTCATAGCAAATGGTAACCGCAAAAAATGTGGCGATAGTTCAATAAGCACCGTCTACAGGGCTCACTTTTGACAATTCAGAACTCAGAACAATTCAGACAATTCAGAACTTTGGAACATCAGAATTTCAGAAATTTTAGGATTTTGAATTTCCGCTAAAAGTTTCAGGTCAACGGATAAACTAGGACAATGGACATAAGAACATAAGTATTGCTGGGTTGCAAAAATTAGAGCTGTGGAAGAGAAAATTGGGTCTCCGCTGCCATGGCCTAACTCCCGTAGTCAGCAAAGTGTTTTACTTCGATTTTTTCTCGATCATCGCCCGTTTTCTGGCAACTTTTTTGATTCAGAAAAATTTCGATTTCCGACTTGTCTGGAGGTTTTCAACACACAAGTTGTCGAAAATAAATAGTAATTGAGAAATAAGGACAGAAAATTACGGTTGTTTTCGATACGGGGATCATTGACCACGCCCACAAGCTTCCCTCGGTCATAGCTCCAACTTTCGCAACAATAATTCAGAAAAATGGTTATAGTTTTACCTACTTGTATTCCTTTTTGTTGGGTGTGAAACCAATTACCTTCTTTTTCCAAAGAACGTCTTCCACTTAAAAGTCAAGTGTTTTTGTGAGAAATCTATCATAAAAAGGAGTTCTAGACCTGGTAATTTTTCTGTATACTCTTCCCTCATCATGACAGATTCTAAAGTGAAATACTTTCTGAATGGAATCATAGTGTCTTGTACAGTTTCTATTGTCGTCGCTATCTTTGGATGTGGATACATCTTATCCGACATTTCAGATTTTCAAAATGTGATTCACGGAGATATGAAAGAATTTCAGGTCAGTTTTATCAAAACTCCCGAACAATAGAATTCAATCAACTTTCAGTTCTACTCATCCGATTCCTGGAGTGTGATGCTCAGTAAACAAACAATGGAGTTCCGAGTCCGAAGACAGTATCCTAGTCCTCCAGTAGGTGGTGGGGGCCAAATAGAAGACGGAACTTGTCAGTGTGCTGAGCAATCAACTGGATGCCCTCCTGGACCACCTGGGCAACCTGGAATTGTAGGACAGCCGGGCGATTCGGGAACACCAGGACAGCCCGGGCAGTCCGGATCCAGAGGAGGCACTGAAATGCACGAATCGATGAAAAATGAGTGTATTTCGTGTCCAACGGGCCCACCAGGAACTGTTGGACCGGATGGACCTCCAGGACCTCCTGGACCTAGTGGTAATCCAGGAAGTGCAAGTCCAGCAGGTCCAGCAGGACAGCCAGGACCACCCGGAGGCATTGGACCTCCAGGAGCAAATGGAAATCCTGGTTCTCCAGGAAACGCTGGACCCCCGGGAGAATCTGTAAGAACAATAACCAATCCACCTGGTCCGCCAGGATCTGCGGGTCCAATGGGACCGCCAGGGCCCTCAGGAAATGATGCACAGCTTTCCACTTCGGGACCTCCAGGACCTCCGGGACCCATGGGTAAGTTTCGAACTCGGAACAGACAGGATATCGAATTATCTTTTTTCAGGGCCACCCGGAAATCCAGGATCTGATGGTATTCCAGGAGTTAATGGAAACCCAGGATCGGACGGACCACCAGGAAGTGACGCTCAATACTGCCCATGCCCATCGAGAACTACTAATTTGGGAGTCATTGGGTAAGTAGTAATTGCCTGATATTCTCTAAAAATTCTAGAATTTAGGTATAAAAATGAAGAGCAGAATCCTGAGAATAGAAACCAACAAGAGTATGCTGTGGATACTTCGTTTGGGTTCTCGAAGAAGAAAATTCTGAGGATGAAGAAAATGATAAAGAAGCTCCACAAACAGTTTACATCAGCTATTGCCTAATTTGTCTGATAATTATCAATAAAAATGTTATTTATTGAATCATAAAGAGTTTTAAAAATAGTTATGAATCAGCAGTCTTTGGAAGTTCATCTGTCGTGTCACTGCTGGATGGTGTCTTTTTGAGCTTGACAATTTTAGATGGTGTGCTTGACGCTTCTCCTTTCGACTCCTCCACAACCACTTGCTCTGAAATGATTTATTACTCTTCAACACTTTTTTTTTCCATCACTCACCAACTTCTCCTTGGTCATTCAAATGCAATCCTCTATCAATTTTATGTCCCTTACACTCATGTTTCACTTTTGCCTTCTCATCAAATAGACAAGCTAAATGTAGAATGTTATTGATGTCTCCCTTGCCCTTCTCATTCCAGACTGTTCTCAAATTCATCGACGAAAACTCGTCTTCCTTGACGAATGCAGTGTCTTTCTGACCTATTACAATGTGATAAATGTTGTAGATCCAGCAATAATCGGATGGAACACGATGGCATTTTCCTTTGAATGTGAAATACACTTTGACTGTTTTATTAGGTTCAACCATCCCAACACGTGGTTTAACGAAGAAACATTTGGAAACTGGAGTGCGGATATTGAAGAGGATCATCTGAAAAAAAACATCGTAGAAGCTGATTGGACCCACGGATGTTCGGAACGGAATTCCGAATTCCGAAAATTCTGACCGGAATATTTCAGAAACTCTCTTTTTGAAAACCGTAATAACGTATTTCCTCTAATAGAAGCCCGCCCAAATCGACAACTTTGAGCTCAAATATATAATTTTTCGAAAGTGATATTGAAAATTAGTCAACTGATAAAATATTAATGATATTATGATGAACAATTTATCAGTTGAAAAATTGTTGATATTTCTCACAGGAATCGAGATAATTAAAAAACTAATTGGACTCAGGGATGTTCGGAACGGAATTGCGTATTCCCAAAATTCCGAAGCTCTTTTTTTTGGAAAAACAAAATATTCCGAATATTTCGTAATGATGAAAATCGGAATATTCGAATTCCGAAAAATTCCGAATATGCCATTTCGAACATCTTTTGGACATATTCAGAAAAGTTCATACATTTTTAGTGGGATTCTTTAATTCTACATGATCACAAGATCGTCCTGTCAATTCTGTAAGTCCACAGAAAACAACGAATTTCGTTGGTGTCGTCAGAAGTGATTTTCCATCTGAATGAAGCTTCAAGAACTCTTCTACCACTTTTCCTTGATGTATTACAAATGGAGGCTCTGGCAAAAAAAATTATTTCATGTGGTACCGTATTCCTTTGAGAGTAGTTCTCCCAAACCGTAAACTTTGAGCCCATATATTCCCATTTCCTGTAAGAGATATCAGAAAGTGGTCAACTAACAAAATGCCTATCATAATATCAGAAGTATTTTATCAGTTGACACTTTTTTGATATCTTCCACAGTAATCGAGATACCGTATTTCCTCTAATAAAAGCCCACCTCTATTTGAAGCCCACTCTCTAATAGAAGCCCATGGGCTAAATTTCGGAATTTCAGATTTTTAAAATTTTTAGAAATTTTTTCCGGAATTTCGAACTTTGAGATCACAGAATCACAGAATTTCATAAATTCGTAATTTTGGAATTTAGAATTGCAGAATGAAAATAACCAATTTTCCAGAACACTAAATTTCAGAAGTCTTATCTTTCAAATTGTCAAATTTCTGAATTTTTGGAATAAAAATTTTTTGAAGACAAATCATTGAAGAATAGAAGCCCACCTCTAATAGAAGCCCACCCCGAGATCAAGGTTGAAAAATAGAAGCCCATGGGCTTCTATTAGAGGAAATCCGGTAATTGAGCTCAAAGTGGACAGTTTTGGTGGGCTTATATTAGAGAAACTCACTAGGAAAACTACCATGTGTAACATCTTGCATATCAATTTATCACTTTATGACCCACTGGTCAGCTAAGAATACATTTTTTGATTGGTTTTTATTGCTCCACGATGTGTTACGTGGATGGTCGCACCAGAATATTTGGAATCACGACCTCAAAAAGTTAGGAAACTGAAAGAAAAGCAAACAAATTCATTTAAAGCATTCAAAGTAATCAATGTCTAAGATCAATATTCTTTTTTAAGCAACATTTCCAATAATCTGTAAAATGGGATCATCAGTTTTTGAATGGGTTTTGACCAGTATTTGACATGCTTCTGGGAGAGTCTCATCGTTTCCAGTTATTGAATGCCAATCGGAAATGTCATCAGCATGCCATTGAACATAAGCTTCAACGATTTCAATGGCCGACTTTGATTCCTCTTCTCCACACATCTGAAATTTTGAATGATTGAGCTACAGTAATCCACCAAACTCCCTCACTTCTTTAACAACAGGAGCCATACAATTCATATAACACGACTGAAACCTGCATAATTTATCCAGTTCAGTCTCATACGTGGCAAGATCAGAAGACACAAAAATCTGATTCTGGTTGTTGGGAGTAGTCTGTTTCAAACGATCAGTTCGAACAATCTCTTCATGACATTCATGATCACATTTTAGAAATGTTATGGGTTCTGTCTAGAAAGATTAAGATTTCGAAGATGGTCAGAATAGGATGGACTCACTTTTGCTAGACATTTCAGAGCTTTCTCAAACAGACTTCTTTTAAATAGGCAGACAAAGTTCGAAGGAGAGAAAGAGTTTTCAGCAGCCTGGAATTGTTTGAATTTGAAGTTGTTGAAGAATAATTAAAAAAATTTGAAGGATTTTTGAAAACCGATTTGAATCCTTTTGTGTCACATATCGATTTCATCAGTTCTATTATTCTGGTACAAAAAACCGGGGTTGTGGAAGCTCCCACAACGACAACTACCGTAACCTAAAAATATGTTTATTTTTCGGATTCATTATTTCGATTTTCGTGCGTTTTCAGTCAATCTTCTCATTATCAAACAAAACAGAAAAATCGACAGGAAGCAGTAAAAAAATGAGATAATAATTACGGAAAACAAAACTATTTTTAGGTTACGGTAGTTGTTGTTGTGGGACCTTTGGCCACCGCTCCCGGTTTTTCTCGTCCACAGCTCTCGTATACAGATTTTTGGACCAGAAGATTTTAACTTTTGCACTCTTTTTTTTCCTTTCACATCTTTTCGTTTTTTTCCAAAATTGCCTTACCGTATAACCTGTAATACATATAAGGGCCCCGCTACTGTCAAGTTTAAGTTCAATTATCTCAACTCTCATGCAAAATATAAACAATGTGTAAACTATAAAATTGTTTGTGATATCATGGTATACAATTTATCAGTTGACAACTTTTTTATACCTTTGACAGGAGCCGAGATAAATTGGACAAAGTTAAAAGTTAGGGAGCTCTTCTATTACAGGTTTTACGGTATTTTCTAATTGAAAAAAACTAACATAATCGTTGCACCTTTCGGAAAAACATTTGGTTTTCTGTTCTGACAATTTACAATATAATTGAAATGAGGAACTTTCCAAAACCACCGGATGAAATGGAAAATCGTAGAATTCCGACAACGATTGGTTGAGAGTATACTCAAACTTCGCTCGGTATTCCTCTTGGCATTCCTAGAAAATTGATTTCTTATATTTCACGAAAAAAGATGACCTACTCCAAAACACTTTGCATCTGTCATATTTCCGTCTGTTATCAACATGAAATCTCTTTTGAATCGGGTTTGATAACATGTGGAATACAGTATGAGCACATTGAAAAAGTAGAATAATGCAAAAATCAATGATGACGATGAAAAGTACATCATATCATTAGGGAAATTGTGAAAAATGCGCGTTTTCGATGAGGTTGGCGGAGGAGAAAAGAAGAGGTGACGACACTCGAACCAGACGAACTGGACGATGACCATGTTCTCCCTCTCTCTTCATTCTTATCATTTCATCAGCTTTTCCTTTCTACTCCAGATGATGATTAGACGCAAGATGAGGCTTGAGACATTGATGGAAGGAAAGTCGCGAATAAAAATGATTCATCAATGATTTCATTCCACCAAAGAAACATTTCGATATAAATACTACAAATATGCCCGGAATTGAACACAGAGGGGGGAGGGGAGAGAAAGAGAAAAAGGCACGAGATTTTTGACTGGGAGAATGAAAAAAGCAAAAAAAGAAACATGATATGGAACGATGTCAGACAGGTATAATTATGGTTTCGGGGTTATGGCTCACAGAGAGAAAAAAGCGAAGGAGATAACGGGGGAAGTTTCTGACAATACGCGGAATTATTTACAACCAGTGATGGGATAGAATATAAAAAATGAACAGAGAAGGGAAATAGAAAATATGAGATTGATTAAAAGTATGGGGAAGCAAAAAAAAAGAAAAACAGAAAGAAAACTAATCTTAATGATTCGAGCGAAAAATGAATATACACATTATGGAACAGTATCAGTGAAGGGAGAAAGAGAAAAAACAATTATAAAAACAAAACAAATAACGATCTAAAAATCTAGCGAATTTTTAGGTGAGACAACGGTAGAAGTTGTCTTGAAGGCGATATAAGACAACAGCGATTTCGCCAAATCCAACAGATTGATGAAGATGAAGTATGTTATGAAGTTGGCGACGAAGAGGAGCTAGATCAACCTTCCCGTGCTTCTGGATTAACTGATCGAAGAGTGAATCGATCTGAACACCAATAATTAATTTCATGATTTATGAGAACCTTAACTCACCTCTGTTTCAGTACTGGATTTAGTGATGTCCCCAACGATTTTCTTGATAAGATCAACAGGGATATCACAAACAAGGACTTCAATCTTTGTCTTGGGAGCGAACCGGACCGAATAGTCATGCAGATGGCTTTTGACTTGGTTCTCAAATCTTTTCTTGTCTTTCAGTTTATGACTCTTTTCACTGAAGATCACATTGATATTGGCTGTTGTGGCGCAGAGGTGGGGGACACGATTGTTATGCGTATTATGTGTTGACGAAGAACTTCTGTAATGTCTAACGGATTGTATGAGATTCTTAAATTCAAAAACACATACTTTGCAACTGGGGTATGAAGATATTCATCGTGATGACCGGCTTCTCCTGGTGTGCCCATAGAAGGCATTTGGGTTCCAATTGGAGTCATCGGAGTGGATAGACGGAACGAGTGATTATTAGTCAGATTTATAGCTGTGTCCATATCCATTACATCCGATATACCAGTTTCTGTTTTGATTATAATTTCCATCTCTTCGTTACAAACGGCTAGAATGTGAGAGATGGAGGCACGCGAGCGATGTTCCTGAAAACTTTTAATAGAACGACTATTCAGTGATTAGCATACTTGTGGAAAAGATGGCCGGGCTGAGATTTTTCTGAAAACGGGCCGGGCCGGGCCGGAAAAATTACACGTGGCCGGCCCGCGGGACGGCCCGCTTTTTGAAAATTTCGAAACTTTAGAGCAAATCATCATTTTTCAAGATGGATTTCTCCTTAATAAATAAAAATCCACACTAGAGGACGATTCTGTCAAAAAAAAAACTGTTTTCAGGTCGTTTTTAGAAAAAAATTTGATCCTTGGCTTAATGAAGTTTGATTTTTTTCTAAAAATTCAATTAAATTGACTTTTTCGGATGGTTGTATGCATTTGGATTAATATTTGTGCTGTTAAAAATATATTGGCACATTTGAAAAGTAACATTTTCGAAAAGTTGACCTAGGCGGGCCGGGCCGGGCCGTGGGTTTTGAGGCAAGCGGGCCGGCCCGGCTTGGCCCGGCCATCCAAATGTATGGTGATTAGATAACTTACGTTCAACGATTCCAAATCATCTACAGCCATATGGAAAACATCAGCTTCGATATTCAAACTCCATAGTTTCTTGGCAATTTTGAACTTTTCAGTAATCAGATTGCTCCCATTCGACTGAACCAATGAGCAAATCAAAACCTTGCAGTGAACAGGAGAATCCATATTCTTGTTAGAGATCTCTCGCATCATAGCCAACGTATCCATTGCCACACCAAATCCACAGATGCAGAGGGGAACTTCAAAGACGATATCTCGAGGATGACGTTCACGAAGAAGAGCAGAATCGTATCGACCGCCGGCTAGTATCGTTTGTTGCTTCTTTTTCTTACCGACCGAATTCGTTGGCTTCTCTACTTGAAGTTGGAAAATGAGACCATCGTCAAAAGTTCTAGGCCGATAGCACGTTTGTGAATCGTAAACGATGTCGATGTTCTCTAATTCCGTTGAACGACAGAGTTTGAATGTTGCAATAACCTCTTGAAGATCATTGATGGCTTTGTCAGCGAGACTTCTGGCTTCGTCTGCTTTCAGCTTGTTCCGGAAATTCGTCACTTTCTCTCTGAAAGCAATGAAGTTGTTCTCCACGGGAATCAGCATTTTTGTGATGATATTGGCAGCCTGCTCTCCAATTTTTGGCGATAATGACTCCATCTTTTCCTTGTGGGAGAGTTGTCGATCAGCTACTGAAATACAATGTAGAACATCGAGAAGTTCGAGTCGAACATCATCCGAAAGCTTCAAATGACGGATTTGTGCTTCGAGTAGCTGGGCGTGACCGATTTTTAGAGTGAGTTTCATTCCTGGGAGCGATTTAGAAATGAGTTCACATGCGACAAGAAGAAGCTCAGCCTGAAACAAATACATTATTCTATTCTTTCAGATAACTAATACAAACCTCCAATGACGTTGAAGAACTCTGTGGACCTATGCTATCAACACAACACTCCCATTTCTCATGCGGATGCACATTCTTTGTGTTCGCAGAGTAGACACGTCCAAAATTGAATCGTTTCATCCGATGAACGCTGTTTCGCACACAATATCTCACAAAATTCTGCCGCAAATCCATAGGAAGAGCCACCGGAAGACCGCTTCTGTCTAGAAACTCAGCAGGCTTCGTTCTCACGGACGCAGCTGCCAATGCAGTCGAAACAGGCATCAGGGTGTGAGTATGGACTTTTTCAAAGGCGTGAGTCTTCAAGACAGCGCAGAATTCTGAACGAAGGGTTTCAACAAGCATTTCACGATTGCTGTTTCTGAATCGGTCTTGACAGATGTCGTTGTCATAAACATAGCTAGCAAGTGGAGAGACATCTCCGTTAAATTGTTTCTCAACAAGCCACTGATTCATTCGACAGTCTCTTTTCTTCACAACCTTCTCCGCGAGCGATCGGAACGTAGCATCTTCTTTTGTGTGCATTGGGAGATCCTCATCATTCAGAAGATCTTCAGCAGTTGGTCTGAGATCTGGTTCCCGTTGGAGCATCGCTTCCACAGTTTTTCTTGCCAGAGAAGCCATCGCAGGAGCCAACGACTTTCCAAAATCCGCGGGAATCTTAATATGATCTCTAAGATTGTTCAGTGTTGAAACTCGTTCCATTCCAGGAGCCAACGGGCGATAGAACATTTCGAACAAAACAACACCCGCACTGTAGATGTCGATTTTGGAAGTGTACGGTGTTGTTTTCTGATCGCTTTTGGCTTTGGCATCCACAAACAACTCGGGGGCCATATAAAGTTGAGTACCGATGTCTCTTGTCTGTTGAATGTCGTGTCCTTTGGCCCCAGGCGGAGAAAACGTGGCTTCTTGACTGTTGCTCTTTTCAGCTCCAGGAGCGGAAGCCTTCACAATCGAATTCATCAATTCAAATGTTGCTAGTCCGAAATCTCCAATTTTGACTCCACCATTCGATGTCAAGAAGATATTCATTGGTTTGATATCTCTATGAATCATTTTGAAGTCGTGCATGTAATTGAGTCCACAGAGAACTTCTGAGAAAATTCTCCAAACTTCAGTCGGGTCGGTGTACAACGTTTTTGTGTCATCGATGTACTGACGAAGCGCTTGACGATCGCAATATTCCATTTGAATGCATAGAATCCGTGGATTACGTGGTGGAGGAATATCGACTGTCAGTTCCTTCATCGCTGGCGATTTCTCAGATACCTCCTTTTTCTTCTCTGAAGCTCCTTCGAACACAATTTGAGAATCCTCATCATCTACCGTAGTGTTTCTTCCGAATACACTGTCGTCTTCGGATTGTTTCGTTTCGAGATCACACGATTCTTCCTCTTCCTCCTCATCTAAATCATCCGAACTTTCTTCTTCTTCCTCATCCTCTTCACTCTCTGCATCCCAATCAATATCACTGATATCGGCGTCGTTTAATTCAGAAGATCCTTCGGAGAGATGGACCAATCCTCCATTTGGTGTTCTCTGTTTGTCACTTTTCGTTCTGCTGCACTTGGGTGTTGCAGACCACTCTTTTGCTTCTGCTTTCACGATTTCCTTCGACATTGTTCTTAGGTTCGGAGGTATCAAAGAATCTCCTCCACCTAACAGATCTTTCTCGCAGCTTTCCGACAGTTTTACAGACTTCAGTCTCAGCCTCTTCACAACTTTTTCTTTTCCAGGAATCGGCACTGCACCCATAAAGGAACTCTCGTCGAAACTCTCTTCCACAATCGGAATCAGCTCTTCGAACCATGAATTGTAATAGCGAACCATGTTTGGATGAGAAAACTTTGCTAGGATTTTGGCTTCTTTCGCAATTTTTCGATTCATTTTCTCGCTGCCCGCATTCAATGGAATCCGTTTGATAGCGTAATCCGTACTGTCCATCTTGTTTCGCACTAAAACCACATCACCGAATCCTCCCTTTCCAATGACTCTGATGATGACGTTATCTGATAGCATTCGGCCTTCTGGATTCATTGCTCCACCAAATGGTGTGAAGATGTTCTCACTTTGAGATTGGCATTCCTCTGGAAATTAAGTTTCTTCAGAAATCAGTGTTGTTAAATATCAAACCTTTCAAGAAAGGATCCTCCACTAACTGATCAATGTTTTTGACTTCCTGACACTTCTTAATAAAACTCATGAGCAGATTGGTTCCAGCTTGTGTTTGACTAATTTGTGTTGGTGTTGGTCCTCGGCGAGAGTAGTTCGAACCGCATTGCTGAAGCTTATAAATTGATTAGTACTTTGCCGTCAAGCTATATTCACATACCGAGAGAACGAGAGTATCTAGAAGCGTGCCCAAATCGAATAAATCTTTTTTGCGTCGTTCGTATTCCTTCTCGAGTTCAGTGATCGGTTCGATTTCTTGTTTTCCCGAGCAAATAGTAGAGAAAAGTTTCGACAAATCCAACAAAGGACCAAGTGACCCGAAATCAGAGAATCGAAAAACACAATCGCCGGTACTGTTCCTAGTCCAAACACAAGTCAGTGTCAATCGCTTATGTGTCATTGAAGCCTCGTGAAGATAGCGAAGACCACAGATGGCTTGAACAGCCAATAAGCGGAGAAGATTCGGTTTTGGTACAACCAATTCGTACGTGTCCAAAAGACTCTCTTCCGATGGATAGATCTTCTGGGCGACGTAAAGTTGCATGAGTATGGAATCCGGCGTAGTACTGATTTTCTGCTGATGGACGAATGCATATTCAACAAGATTCTGATCGAGCCCTTTGATTTCACATAACTTCTTTATGTCATTGTAAACTCGATCAAACTTTTGAATGAATGGTTCGAAGTCTCGTTTTTTGTTTTCCGAGGAGCTTCGTCCTGTTGTGTAACGGAATGTCCATTCAGAGATGAGAAGTTGAGTGCTCTGGAAATATTTCTTGTGAAAATCGCTTTCTTGTACGCAACATGACTACAGTTCGTTGAAAAAGCTCACCTCCCAAAATCCCATCCACTCGTGACAAGCGTTACTTGGTTTTTGACGTTTCACAGGAATATTAGAAAGCACAACGATCCGTCGACCTCCAATGATCCTGGTCTCTCCTTCTGGCCTTGTCCCATCTAACGTCTTCTCCAACTCGATCGCATTACGTTGTCGCATCTCCTCCTCCAACAATTCCAGCTCTTTTTGTTCCGTGTCCTGTCGCCGCCGTTCCGAAATTCTCTGTAAATAAAGTCGTATAAACTGTCGAAGAGAGGCAACGATTGTTTTTTTTCTATGAATGTGCTTCTCGTGATATAAAAAAGGAAAGAGGGAGAAGAAACAGGACACAAACAATAAGCACATAAATTTGCATCGATTCTCACATACTTTCTTTTCAGCCTCTGTCCTTGCCTTGTTTGCCAGCATATCATCGTGAAAACTTCCGGTGGTGGTATGTGGGTTATGGTCCGCAAGAAACTCGCTGACCCGATTCGCGAGATCCATGATCACGACATCTTCTTTGAGCTCTTCTACCCGTTGTCTGAGGATGTTCAGCAAGTTTTGAGCGTCATCATTGGAGATTCCTCGTGGTTCATGCAACTCGACAATGGGCTTTCTGAAGAAAATAAGGTGATAAAATTAGGATTTTTCCAACGATGAGGTTTGTTTGCACTATGTGAAAAACCAACCTCTTTGGATACTCTTCCGAGCACTTTACCCGAAGAACGACACTCAAATTACTTTTCGCATTCTTTTCATCATTCAGAAGACACGATTGAAGCGGTTCGCAGTAAATAGAGACATCATTTGGCTGCCAGACCTGTCAAGATTACGGTAGTTTAAAACTTGTCCAACGTTCACCTACGTTCCAAACATTATGAACTGCGAAGTTTACCTGCCCACTATACATTGACTCTACCACCGCCCTCTCTGATGCTTGTATCTGTTTGTTTTCATCGTGGTCGCTGGTTGTTGATGGTCCAGTGGTCATCACCTGAAAACTTCCAAAAAGTGAGTAAAATAAGTGTATAGGGCTCAAGGTCAACATTCATCGGGAGAAAATCAATTTTCGAATCACGCGGTATGCTAGCTGCCATTATAAAACCAAGCGACAGCAAGAGACTAATGGCAGAATAGCGATAAACGATGCTTCTTTTTCAGACGACTGTCATGAATCGCTGCGAAGTTTTCTCTGCGGACGCAATGTGGCGTCGATTATAGCAGTTGCGTACGCCGTCTACTTTTAGGCGGTTTTTCAAATTTAGTTTTCTGGGTTACTAGTTTCGTAATATTCTGAAGATTTTTCGATATTTGGGTCAAACATTTAAAAGCAAATTGATAAAACAACACAATAATATACAGCGTAAACCTCACGAAAAATCATTCATTATAAAAAAACACCGAAAACTAAAAGTTATTGTTAAAGATTTTCAAAGCGACAGTAATAACAAAGCCTTCGAGTAATGGCAGACGAGACATCAAAAACTCCTTATAATAGTATCTATGAGACTCTGAACCCTGTGAGTAACATGTAGAAGATTAGTAAAGATTGGGGAGTTTATTCAGAAGAACCAGAAGTCAGATGCTGAATTGGTTTGCTGTAAGCACGGATGCCAGTGCGCATATGGTCGGAAACCAGTTGAGAATCAATACGTGAATCTTCCATCTCCAAGCAAGGAGCAACAAGTCGCTGAGAAGCTGACAGCCAAGTTGGAAAAGCTGAAAGTGAAGGAAGGGAAGATAGGAGGATCGAAGGAGAAAAGAAAGAAGGAGAAGAGACAGCAACCACTGGCTGAGGATAGCCATGCATACGAAATGATGGGTCCACCAACTGAAGGATCAACTGCCACTTCTGCTCCAATCACTACAGAGTCTCTGGAGAACAACGTCAAATCCGACAACACTTCTTATTCAGCCTACATAGGTGTTCAAAGTTCTGCTGATGCTGAGACTCATGTGACTCGTCGTGGAGAATTCGCTCTCTACCATCTCTCTGAACCTGGAGCATGCATTGATAACTTGACTCCAGGTCTTCCACTGATGCTCGTCTACTATACCACCACCAAGAAACACCGTCATTATCCCGTTCGCTCTTCTGGTTCCAACGGAGAAGTTCATTACTTTGTCGATTGTGGATATCCGATCGTTCGCAAACACTTCTCGTTGAACCAGTTGGTTCAGTATTATCGGGTAAAGAAAATTAAGATTTTTCTTTTCTGAAAAACCAGAAAACAAAAAATCAAAAAATTTCAGACTTTTGGATCGATCCAAATCAATCCAGATGACACTTGTGCCGAGGCATTCTCGTGGTGGTTGGAATAGAAAAAGTGAACTTATGGTGTTTTTTCTTCGTGGAAGTAGAATGAATTTTTAAGACATGTTATTTTTGAATGTCTTTTTCATTTCCAGAAAATGAATATTTTATTAATTTTGTTTATTTTTCTTTTACCGATTTCATCAAAAGCTGATTTTAAATCCGGTATTTATCTTTTCGAACTACAAGATTAGAACCTGATTTTCCAGATAAAAACCGAGTCTGTATCATAACTGTCTACTCGACTAGTGTTCTTTTTGTCGTCTCTCTTCTCACTTTCATTTCCACTCTTATAAGCTATTTCAAAAATAGAAAGCTCCGCCAATTCAAGCTCTCGGATCCAGAAGTGAGATATTATCCTATATATCCTATATACATATATTTCAAAATCTCAAATTCATTAAAATTCAGACGCATATCTACTACAAAGACAAGGGACGAACTCCAAAATTGAGAAGAAAAGTGTTGGAGGCAATGGATAAGGGCGGATCGGTGTACAAGAAACCGAAAAAGGCTTCGAAAAGTGAGAATGAGTCAAAAAGTATGAATACGGATAGCCATTCATCTGGATTGCTTGTACCTGCTTCTAAAGAAAGACTTTGAGAATAAAATTTTTCATTTACTGTTTTTTTTTTGAATTTTGAGAGTCGTCAGCCAGAAATTTTGGAAAATACATTGTCCAGAAATAGTCATGTTCTGAAAACATGAAAGATAATTTTTGATTACCAATTTTAATGGCTTAAAAGCTCATATTCGCTTTTTCCCCAACTGTAAACAAAAAAAATTCGTTGTCGAATGTTTTTACAGTAGTCCATTTCATTTTTGAATATTTTCCATACAGTAATCCTTTCAAATCTCGAATACTTTCTCCTACAGTAATCGTTTGATTTCTAAATATCTTTCCAATACAGTAATCCATTGTAATCCTTTTGTTTTTCCGATATTTCCTCCTACAGTAGTCTATTTCATTTTCGAATATTATTACCCTACAGTAATCCTTTTCTTTTTCCCTAAAGCTCAAAAGTTCAAGAATTTTAGATATGAGGGAAATAAATAAAACTTCCGAAGAAAAAACAATTTATTCACATAGCAATAACACTAATTCCTGATTTGGTTTCTGTTCGGGTTTCGACTCCAGTCCCAGTACTTTCCATTCCCGTTGTTCCAGTTCCAGTAGTTCCTGTCCAATCTGAAGTTGTTCCGGTTGTCCCTGTCCCCGTTGTAGTACTTCTAGAGTTCCCATTTCGTGATGTTTCTCCTTTCAGCACATAGTATTCGAAACTCTGCGATTTTCCAAAATGATCTATAGTAACCCCCCCCCCCCCCTCTCAACTCACACTAGGCCTACTCAATGTCAACTCGGGCGGTCGGGTTTGACAAAAATGGATAGTGGTGAGAACGAGGATTACGGTAGCTAGAATCAGAAGAAGGCCACATTGAAGAACATCGAAAAATGCTTCAAATGTGTGGCTGAAAATATTTTATTCAGATTTTCTAAAACTAAAATAAATCGCACCTTCGAAAATGGAGAGATTTTTCAAGGCGCTTACAGTTTTTACAGTACTTATTGTTAACAAACATGTCGATTTTAATGGCATTATTTTTTAAAAATGACACGATATTGACGTTTACTTTTTTCAGTATCTAGGAAAGGTCAAGGCTATCGAAAGATCTTTTCTGAACTTTTGGTCTCCACAAATTCAATCACATGACCCCCTTTAATAAATATTTTTCTGACTTTTATTGATAAACTTTTTCCAACGACTCTTTTCTCTTCGTCTCTTATCAGTATAAATTAAAATTTGTTTTACGAATCCGGAGATGGTTTACGACCCCGAAATGAACCTACTGAGTACCGAGGAAATTTGGTTTTATCGAAAGTTTTTATTGTCAAGAAAAGGAAAGTTATTGACGATCGAAGGAAGAAAAAAGGAAACGAAAAACCAAAAGCGCGGGAAGAGACGAGTTGGAAGGATTGGAGAATTTCAGAAAAATTCAGAAAAACTTTGAAAAGTGTCTGATTGTGAGAGGATTATGAAAAAGATTATGCACCTTTCCAAGTTTCGTATAAAAACTTTGATGTCGATGTACAGGAACGAAGAGTTCAAAAGAATCAAGTTTGACATGTGGTCTTTGGCTCTGAACTATTTAGTTCTTTTAAATACAACAATTTTGAAACTTTTATCTACCTTGAATCCCCGTTACAGTGATTGAGAGATTCAGAAAACAAGGGAACCTGACTCTAATAGTCAAATTTCCCTAAAAATAGTCCCTCCAAAAATAGATGACCTATTCTCAGCGTCCTTATCTTAAAATTGGTTATCTCGATTTTCGATTACCACAATTCCATTGTTCCCAATAAAGCATGATTTGTCTTGAAATGTGTTTATCATTTTTCAAACAGCATCTAAACAATTTCCCAAAATATTTACGAACCGAGCACTAATCCCAGACTATAATTCTCATTGGTTTTCGTTGTTTGACTGTGGCACTCCTTTTTTTTAATGTTTGCTCTTATGATTTTCAGAAAAGATGACAAGATGAGATCAAACAGGGTCAGAAACGACAAATTAAAATTTTGGATTACCAGGGAAAAGCTTATAACAAGACGTTTGTATATTATCTTAAAACCAGGAGTATGAGTTACGAATTTCTTCAAAACTATGAAATGCGAGAAAGCAACCGGGTCCTAATAGTAACATCTGGATATCATTTTTCATGAAGTATCAACGTACTCGGCGGTCGGCTTATTACTTCTGGTCAGCAGGTCAGGCGGGGTTCGGCTGTTGGCCGAATATTGGGCAGGTTCTGGTCGGAACTTGCCCAAAAACGGCTTGCCCAAAAACGGCTGCGGGCCATGATCAGTTTTTGGTCGGAAGATGAAAATTGAAATACTACTGGGTTGGAACCATGTCATTGGTTTGTCGGAGTTTGGTCGGCTTTAGTAGCGGTTCTACCCGGAATCTGACCAACCTCCAAAATTGCCGGCGACACCCGGGTAAGCTTCGGACCATCCTATCAACCATTTTGCTTTCAATTTCCATCTTAACACAGACCCTACCGAAACACCAGTCGTAATTTGGTGCCTCCCGGAACCAGGAACCGATCCCTCTCCGTCACCCCGCTACCTCCCTTCATAGTTCCGTGGACCATGTACGTCACACAGACACAATCTCTCTGCCTTTCCTTATCAGCTCTTTCTCTTTTTATAACTTTTTTGATTGAGTGCCATGAGTCTGCTTTTCATTCTTCAAACAACTTGGCCAAAAGTACACTGTTTCAGATGCAATGAACATTCTTCATCATAGCGCACGTGACCATTTATTTTTAAAGTTTTGCTTCGGAGGGAAGGAAGTGTTGATTTGTCGTGTAGGTGAAGAGAACAAGAATCATAAGACAATTCCAGACAGACAAAAAAAAAACAATCATGACTAAATTTAGAAGTTTCTTGATAATGCACAAAATAAAATATCAATAAACACATGGAATTCGTGTCGGAAGTCGTAAAAAGGGACCGAAAATAGTCAATTTTAGGAAGTTGCTACTGATATGATTTTTTATTGTTTTCTACATACAGAAAACCAAACAAAACTAAACTCTCGCATCAAAGTCAATACGGAAAATATGTAGTAGAGATTGAGGAATTGCGGAACTGTGATTCAGAATTTTTAAAATACTAGAATTAATTATTGAGAAAACAATTGATAAGGAGTTTTATTAGCAGTTTAGGTATGTTTCAGGATTAGAACATTTCAAAAGTTGATTTACAAAAATGGATATTCAAAGTTAATTACCAGATTTTTTGATATGGCATAAACTGAGGAGCTAGTTTCAGCTAAAAGAATTACTCAGAAAACATGTTATGTGGACGAGGACCGTAAAACCTGTATTAGAAGGGCCGGTTTTATTTTTTTTCATTTTTCGTGGGGTCGCCGAGAACTTTCGGTGATGGATTTTCAATGAAATATTCGTTTTTCTACATAACATCCATCATAATTTATTAAAAAACAACTATATTGTCAAATTTAAAAATTTGGTCTGTAGGGGGGGGGGGGCAGTTCAATTAGAGGGCTCTTCAATTTCAGGGGCCCTTCTAATACAGATTTTACGGTTAATTGAGAAGCTATTTTGAGGTTAAAAACTATCCAGAAGCACTGCTCTGCTCTACCGAAAAAATCGGGATAAGTTCCAGATTTAAAATGGCGATTTTCAAGTTTTGAACTTCGAAGATGGGCTCCTATCGACAATCAACTGTGAACCGCACTTTTCAAGTCTCGTCAGCTGCACTATTCAATTTTATATCCTTTTTTGTTTAAAACTTTGAGCTTTTTATTAACTTCGAAATTCTTAGAACTTCCCTTTTCTTATCTAACAATAAATTGTAGAATCTTAATTTTCGGTTCCTTCAATGTCTTTGTTTCTTAACTCTTCTTAAAATGCGTTTAGCATTCTTTACCATTTTTTCTAACTATTTACGAACCGAACACTAATCCCTGGCTATAATTCGCCTTGTTTTTTTTGTATTATGATACACTCATTTTCTCCTTGTAGTCTTCATTTTGCCGAAACATGTTGACAAATGTTAATGAAATGAATTAGTGTGTCAGAAAGCACAGAAATATCCACATAGTTGCCCTCCTCCCTAGTACAAAGTCACCATATAAATTTCGTAACTTCCGTTTTCCCATGACACAGTCTCTCCCTAATTCTGCTGATACTTCCGTGCTCCCACTTGATTTTAATCCCATTTCCAAATAAAAACATCTTGTACAAAATGATAAACAAATAGACTTAGTTAAATGAATTGACCATCAATTTTTGAAATGGAAAAGTTTGTCCTGGAAATATTGTGCTTACTGGATGGACACTACTCTGAACTCATTAAAAGCTGTTTCTTATCAATCAACGAATTTTCATGTGAACCGTCTTCACTCAATCATCGGAAGTAATATTGTTTCGTACACAAATCAAAGACTGTACATGTGTTTATTTTTGCGAATATAGTTTCAAAAATGTATAAGAACAACAAAGCAACCTAAACCTTGTTAGAACCCAATTCGAATCAAAGTGTAATTATGCTGGAATTTAAAGGAAAATAAGGGAAATTGAAATAAAAAAAATTAGTAGCACTATGAACAGAAAGTAGACGATTTTCGGGAATTCGGATCATGCATATCGTCGATCCAGGAGACGGATTTTCGTTTACTTGAAAGGCAGGAATCGGTTTTTGAGCGAGTTTTCTTCTGGTAGCGAGACTTCACCTGAAAATATGACTTGGTTAAAATTGTGAATATGGGGGGGGGGGGGGTGAATCGGAGATTTGAATACGAATTTTTTGGTATTTCGAGGTCTCAAGCTTTTAGAATTCAACTTAGAATATTCTGTTTTTGTGACTGTAGTCATCTCGTGATTCGAACTCGCGTTGAATCAACTATGACACACCAGAAATGTCACAGAATGACATGAAAACGAAAGAGGAGCTAGTTAATTTTTGAGGACTCAGAAGAACCATCGATCAAAATCATGGTGATCTAGAGACATCTTCGAGAAGTGCTTGAAAAATCACAAATTCAGAATTCCAGGATTCGGGTCGCCGTCAGGTAAAATAATTAAATGTTACGAAGACGTATTTTTATAACTGAATCTCCAGACATCTATTTTTATCGGGGGTTAAAGCTCTTGAAAAAAAATTTCGGTTTTTTTGCTTACATCCCAACTCCTTCATATTATCAACTTACATTATTCGAAGAGCTTGGACTCTTTCCCAAACAAATGTCAATTTTCGTTTTCAACGTCATTGGAACCTCATTTGTTTCTACGAGAATCGTCAGCAGAATCGATTTTAATTGCGGCAATTCTTGGTCAACATCTTGCAACAGCTGAAATAGACACCTCCATTAACTTTTTATTTCATTGCAGTTTTTGATTCTCTGACATCAATGCCCTCTCTGATGATAACTATTGACCAGGAATAGAAGCAGAGCACAACACGAAAACGCAATAAAAACTGTTTAATTACCTTTGCTAGAACTCTGTCACGGAAGGCAGTCAATATGAAAGTCTGAACATCAAATGACGCATCAATTTCATTCAACGGGAAACACATTGATTGAAGTGATGGAATGACCAGATTGTTGAGTTTTAACCAAAGTTGTTCCAAAACCTCGGTTCCTTCTTCGTTGAGAAGATCTGATGTTAAATTCGGGCAGTTGAATGCCTTAAAAGCGTTGTTCTCCAGAATTCCAGCGGCGTCACCATCAGATTTAAAGAAATTGACAAGTTTCTGCTTTTCGGAAAGTGTCAGGGATTGGATTTCGGTTGCACAGTTTCTCATGTCATCTCCAGAGATTACATGGGCTTGGAGAGCAGAGAGAAGAATTAGCTCACATCTGAAAATTTGGAAATACTCTAAGATTACCACCGGAGGCACCACAGACAATGATGCCATGTGAAAGTTTTATTGCTCAAAAATTTTCGAACAGTTGCGAAACATTTTTTTTCGAATATTTTACAAAACTGCTGACTATATGAAAACGGACACACATTCCTAAATGAGTGCTGAAATTTTGGAGCACTATCTCAATTTGCTGAATAAGTCAACAAAAATCTTAAGCATCAATAAGCTGATGGCTCACTAGAGATACACACGGAAATTTATTGAAACTTACGGATTTGGATAATCCGAAAATGTGGCCCTTGGACTTGGCGTTCTTGGAGACGACAGTGTTGATGACAAGGAATCTATTGATCTTCTGGATAGTTGAGATAGTTGACGAAGTATAGATCGGCTCTTCTTTTTCTCTTGCTCCACACCTGGAACCGATAGGCAATTCATTGGAAAGTGAGGAAGGAGGAAACTCTAATTCTAAGTTTATCAGGGGTCTAAAAATTGAAAAGTCAATCAAAAAAAGAGCAATGAGTAACCTAGAAAAGAAAGCTGATGTCATTCAGGCACGTGTTTTTCTCATCGAACCAAACTAGAAACATGATAGTTTGCACTCACATTGTACGTCATAAAACACATTCCCTAACGATGTTTTCTTTCCAAAAATCATTTATGTGTCGATATCGATTGGATTTCAGATAGATGCCTGAAACTAAAAAATTGTTCGGCTTTTCTGTTTTCAGAAGAATTCAGCTGACGAAAAAGTCACGAAATTAAGAAGAGAGATGCTCAAATATAAATTCTTCTCACTCCCCTATTCTTATCTCTCGAAATTTCTCCCCTCCCCTCGTTTTGTGCTTCATCGGCCCCGTGTTGATTACTTTCCCAACCCCTTTTTCACATTTGAACCGTGCTGATAACCTTTTTCTCTGCGTCTCTTGCCTCCGAGCAATCTCTAGTTTTTTATCGCATTATTCTGAAAAAAAGGAGACTCTCTTGGGGCTGGAAAAGCAGTTTGCAAGAGGGCAACAGAAACACGCTTGAACTTAATATGAACATACTTTGGAGAGACAGAAATTGTACTGTTTTACAGTTTGATAATAGGTGCAACATTGAATTTTTGAATTCAGAAGTTTTGATCTTCCCGAATTTGAAAAAACTATTAGGAACACAGTTGGTTGTTTGGTCTGAAACTCAGAAATGAGCACACACAAACATACCATACATTTTCATCTTGATGGTTGAAAGGAACTGAAAAAGCTGAAACTGATAGAGGTAAATAGACTTAAGGAAATAAGGAATGCGCCAAGTAGAAAATTGTGAATGTATGTGAAGAAACAATTAAAAGTATTTGAAGATTTAATTTTTGACTCATTATAAAAATCAAGTTGCCTCCCCAAACAGGCGGAAACAACATATGATTAATGGTGGATGTTTTGAACTGCTTTGATCGGAAGTTTTGTTTTTTTACTACCCTCAAAGTAAATATACAATGTTGATTAAAAGGTTATCAAATATTGCCATTATGATGGGAAATGCTGAGTTTAGATTTTTGAAAAAAAAATTAGAGGTCCCAAAAAAGTTTAGAGGTCCTAAAAAAAATCGAGGTGTGAAATTTGAAAAACGCTCAGATGTTGGAATAATGTACAGGAATTTGAACGGTCTAAAAAAAAAAGTAAGAAATTTGAGTTTGGAGTCTTAAGATTATATGATGATGTGACTGTTCTTAACAGATTTAGCTCCATTTCTCTTGCGTCTTGCTTATGAACCCGAACTTACATATGAGGAAAACTTCGGCAAAACAGTATCTGTGTGTTTAAAAATTTCGGACCTCTAATTTTTTTGGACCACTAATTTTTTTGGGACTTCTAAGCTAGAAAAGAGCCTTAATTTTTTCCAATGAGTCTTTTTTCGTAACTGACAATCTTCCCTTTCCACTTCTCCTCAAGGGTGGGCAAATCACGGCCGGGGCAGGCTATGGGTAGATTGCCGTGTACCTATTAGTCCGTTCTTTCAAAAAAAAAATATGCTCAGCGATACAAAAACCACAAGGGCGGCAATCCGCCCTATTCTACCTAACCCATAAATAGCCTATTCAAAATGCTGCGGCCGGCCGTGGCCAAGACTTGTTTCCCATCACTTTCGACATCCTTTTCCCTCTGAAGCCAATAAACAAAGCAAAGTTTGAAATTCAATTTTAAGATGTGATGACGCACAAATTGTCGAAAAAGGCAAAAAACAATCAAATTTATTCTCTTATTTCTCTAGTAAGCTATCTGAGATCTTAGATGCTCTTGGAGCAACCACGTGGCTAGATGGATCGATTTGATGCTTCCGTTCTTTGCAGCAAAGGTGTCGAATCCATAGTATCCCTCACAAACTTCCGTATGGCCTCCGTGTTTTTCCAAATCATCCGGTGGAGTGCACTTGTTGTTCCAGAATGGTTTGCATTTTGTGAAAATGCACTCTTCCTGAAAAAATTGGCCTACATATAAGGATCCGAAACTTCTGGATCAATTACCCAACAATAGCTTAGAATTGGCATCCAAAAATTAAGGAATAGAAGACGCATTTTTTGAAAATTAAACAATGAAAAATAAATGAAAGGCTCTTGTTTAATTATTGTTTTCATAAAAAATCATAAAAATTTAATGTAAATCAATCAATCCACGGAGAAAATTATGAAAAGTACAAGCAAGTGTGTAAACTGGGTGTGTAATTTTTTACAGTAAAAAAGATGGCGAGCAATGAAAAAGAAACGGTCTACGTACTTCAGAAAACTATCATTTGGGACGAAGCGGGGATGGAATGGGGCACCGACGGCGTGAAAAAGGCGGAAAAGATAAAGAAGAAGGACATGAAAATCGAAGAAAAAGAAAAAGACAGATGGCAGTTCGTGGAAAGTTGGGGAAAGAATCAAATGGAAATATCTACGCAGAGTTGACGACGCGGAGACGATTTCCATTACAGGTCTTGCAGAGAAGATGGTTATCAATAGGATAGCATCCTTGTCCTTCCAGCTGAAATGTTATAAGATTATGACTACTGTAATAAAATAGTGATGTTTAGAAATTTTTCTCAGGAGGTGGGATCCATAAAAACAGAACCCAAAACACCACTTTCTGATTTACTTGTTTTTTTGAAATCAATTCTCAGACCTTGTTGAACATTGATTATATTTCTGTGATTTTATTGTAGAATTTTTATTGGCTAGGTCTTATAGGAGCTGAGATAATCTGATAAAAAGTTAAAATGCTTGACTGCCGGTCTATTGAAAATATTTCTTTATTTTGTCAACAGAATTTCTTTCTATCGTAGTTTTTGAATCAGTCCGTTATTCTCAGAATGTTTGAAAAACTTGGAATTCTGCTATACAATTTCAGACATCGTACTAACTGGAACGCTACTTTGAAGTCATAAAGTTTTGTCTGACCTAAAAGTTATCTGGGGCGCGATTTCTGAACAAGCCTTTTCGAACCCTATGCTTGATATGAATTCAAATTCTGATCCCAATTCATCTAAAACTGCTGAAAATCTACAAATCTGCTATATTAGCTGTTTTTGAATCCAAGATACTCATTGAAACGTGTTGCTCAAATCTAGAAATTGTGATTTTCGAATTTTGCAACCCAAAATGCCCCTTCATTGTTCGTCGTCGCCAATCCAATTTCTACGCAATCCTTCGCTTAAAATTCTCCCTCATAACCACTTCTGGACCGACGATTACCTTCTGCATCTATTACTTTTTCCCATTCTAATATCACATTTTTCCGGCCGACCAATTTCAGTAACAATTACTTCTCTTCTTCCTCTCTCAAACAATTACAGACTCGACCAGTTTTTCTTCTCTCATAAAGCCGAATGATTCCTCAATTCTTTCTTTTTTTCACCTTTGATGACAATTGCATTCCACAATCCTCACATTTGTAGCAGTCGACGTGGAAGGATTTATCCATGGCTACGACACGAACCGATTCTTTCTCACCATCCTGTGGCACGATTGGTTTACTACACATGGCACAGCGAGGCGCGAATTTGCTGAAAATTAGAATTTTCAAGATTGGGTTGGCATTGACTACTTGACTTTGACCAATAATCAAAATTCAGATTTTTTCAATTAAACCACAAAATCAGATTTTTTCAATTAAACCACAAAATAAGATTTTCTGGATCGTTGGACGTCAAAAACCTTCAGAAACTTGAAGAAATGGAATCAAAGATATTCTGATCGCCAGAGTCCAAATATCTCTGATATTTTTTCTTCAAAGTTCTCGTTTTCCGTTTCCTCGCTATTTCTTTTTCGAAAACTCACTCATGGAAGCATGGCACACAGTGCACATTGTTATCCTTATCAAGAGTGAATGGAATTCCATCAAGGGATTTTTTGCACGAGTAGCACACAAAACAGTTGACATGGTACACTCCTCCACATGCTCTCAAAAGTTTGTCACTGATCGGTCGGCTGCACGCAGTACACTTTTCCAACGAGTTCTGTAAAAAGTGCTCTTTTTGGTTTCCAGGAGTTCTCAAGGGACCAACTATTCTTGCTCTCGTTTCTCGTGCGACGGAGGGCAAGATTGAGTACATTTGGCATATCTAAAGGCTCAAAGTTCTTACCTGATAGCAAGATTCGCACGTTGGCTTATCGTCGATATTGTAGAATGATGCTCCTGCAAGAGTCTTCGAGCACTGACCACATTTGAAGCAATCCACGTGGAAGATCTGATTCATGGCATTGCATCCTGGCTGATCACCAGTGATCTCTTTACCGCAACCAACGCAAATATCTGAAACTTTGTATTGTTGTTGGGGGTGTTTGGATTTTTCGAGTTTTTCTATTCTTGCTTCTTCTTCCTCCTTCTATTTTCTTGTTTTTATTTTTTGCCAGACTGGTGTGTGGTGGTTTTATGATCTAGAATTGCCTATAAATTGAATGGGTTATTTTTTCGAAAAAAAAAGAGAGGAAAAAACACTGGGGTGAGAGGGGGATCACATGTAGTTTAGTAATTGGAGTTGTTGCTTTCTTGTTATAGTTGTTTTCAGAACAAATAGGTGATACGAGGAGAAAAAACAAGAAATGAATTTGTCTGGAATTTTGAGTATTTTCCCATGATTCTGGTGTTTGATTCTGTGATAGAAACTGAGTGAAATTAGAAACTGATGGGTTCTATGAGTGGCATTCTTGGAAGCTAAGTTTTGAAATGGACACTAAGCAAAAGGTTTCATGATCTTCATTAATACCAGATTCCGAAGCTTCAATTTTTTCGGATCTAGAATTCAAAGCTTTATTATGACAAAAAAATCGGATAAAATAGTTAAAAGGAAAACGTCTACCGTATTTGCTCTACTAGAAGTCCACCCTAGTGTATTTAATGAGGTAGGTGGAGTCACCATCAGAAAAAGGGAGTAGATCTACCGTATTCCCAGGATTCAAAATTCGAGAATTAGACAAAAAAAAACCAGACAGGTTTTCGAAATGTTTCCTATGTTGTTGCAATTTTGGTAGGGTGGAACCACTCGGATTTCATAACATAAAACACCTGTCTCAAGGAAAAGTGACAGGAATATGGGAATTAACAATAAGATAGAAATAGGAAAATTCTTCTTTTAGTGTATTTCTGGAGTTTTTTTAAATCCTGAATTTGCACAAAGTAGAATTTGAAGACCATCACAAAAAAAGGTTATGTTACCGTGTTTCATCAAAACCTCACGCAACCCGTCAAATTTTATCTCGATTCCTGTTAAAGATATAAAAACGTTGTTAACTGACAATGTATTTATCATACAATCACCATATTTTATCAGTTGACAACTTTTTGATATCTCTCATAGGAACCGAGATAATTGAGTTCAAAGTGCATCTGTAGGGTGGGCTTCTATTAGAGCACAGTTTTTAAAACTTCGAATTTGGCGCTAATTCGAAATTTCAGTTCATGGGACACAGATTTTTATATCTGGCTTCTTTTTTGTTTTAAGATGTAATACGCTGTAGTAAAAGTCCCCATCCAGCCCTTTTGATGTTTTCCTCGCTGTTTCCCAAAAGTCTCAAAAAGTGCACAATGACACGTGACTCAACATCCCTAGAACTACCGTATCCCCTTCAACGCTTCCTTTTATGTTTCTGTGATGCTTTGTCTTTTTTCAGAAAACTGGGTGACGCATGTGATGTTTCACCCGAAAATGTTTATTATTGCCCCGGGGTTTGTTCTTCCTGTGTCATGAAATTTCTGTGGTGGCGGGCGAAAATTGAAAGTGTAAACTTGGGATTAGTGGAGTTGTAAATATTGCAAATATTTATTATAGGGAAGGAATCATTAGAGACCAAGTGGCTCTTCAGGGAAACTAATTTTTGGAGTGAAAAATCCCGAAATTCCAAAAAAGGCACGGAATAAAATGATAACAAACCTTCCTGATCTGCCATTGCTTATAGATTTATCTGGAAAAAATTGGAGATTTTTAGAAATCTAAAAGTCCCCAAAGAATCAGAAGACGATGGAGAAAAAAAGAAAAACCAAGAAATGGAAGAGTGAGAAGGACAAGGAGGCGTGGCTTCCAAGAATGGATAGGAGTTGAAGCGCCGCCCACCGAAGAAGAAGAAGAAGACGAAGGAGAAGGAGCTTCTGATAGAGGATGGATGGACAACAGAAGCTGAAGGAAACAAGCAAAAAACGAAAGAAAAACGCGAAGAAGAGTGGAAGAAGAAGGAAGACAAAAACGAGTAGGAGGGCGCGGCCTTCTTCTCCAGAAAAAGAGCAAAGAGGCACAGAGCTCAGAGAAAATAACCGTAGTCTCTCTGAGCAACTGTTGTCTCTTGCTCTCTCTCTCTCTCTCTCTCTCTCTCTCTCTCTCTCTCTCTCTTCCTGATCACTTCGGTGTGCTCTTGGGTGTCATTTATTTTCGGTTCAACACTATTTGTCTTTCCATAGGTTGTGCTGGTGGGAGTTTTTGGAGGGATGAGATTTAGAAAGATAGTGGGACAGATAAAGAAAAAGTGAGAGAGGAGGAGGAAAAAACCCCAAGAAAAGGGATACCCACAAATTGTTATTGATTTTAAATGAGATTGGTGATTGTCGGAATGACTGTTTGACCACCTGCGTCGAGTGGGCGATGCAGAACTTTTAGGAAAAAAAAAATTTCCAGTGGAGATAAAGTTACACGAGGATCTCTTTTCGTTACAGGAAAACTGAGTGGACATTGGTGAGGTTTCAGGTTATCCCAAAGTTTGCAAAATTGTCAAAACATTGAAATGGTGGGAATTCGGAAGCTCATAATTTCAAGGATCACACAATTCAGAATATCTTTCTTTTTGTTTTTCAATAACCTAGAAATCCCAAAATCATATTTTTCATCCAAAAATTTTTGTAGTCTATCCCTCTATTGAAAAACAAACTCTCTTATATTTACCGTATTTTCATTATAAACAGCCCTATAGGTGCACTTTGAGCTCAATTATCTCGGTCCTGTCAAGGATATCAAAAACTTTTATTTGATAAATTACTTATCATTATGTCAGCAATATTTTATCAGTTGACATGTTTTAGATATCACTTATAGGAACTGAGTTAATTGAGCTCAAAGTGCACGTAGAAAATACGGTAAATAGGTGTTATTCCAAACGGAATCTCAAATTAAGAATTTTCATTAGTGGAGACTATCATTTCTGAGTGGCCTAGAAAAAGTGAATCGGAAGTCATTAAGAAATAGAAATATATTCGATAAGCTCTCAGTTCAATTAGACAAGAAATGAAACAAGATTCGTATCAGAGTCAGGAGTTCCTCCTACTTCAACTTTATCTTCGAATCCGATCCGACTAATAAAAAGATGATATAAAATGGGATCTAGTTTTCATGAACTTCAGACAGGTGTCGATGGCACGAAAGATTTGATCTCAATCTTTGTTCTTGTTGTGAGTTGTAGGAGCAATCATCTGGACTTTGTCACGTAATCGATAATTTTGAATGGTCAATGTGACCTAGATTCAAGTGAGAAATTCGAGTATTTTGTAGAATATAACAGATCTTGATGAAAACGTTCGAACATGGTCCAACCAAGAGTTCATAACCCAATTCATCTTTTCATCTTTTTCCGTTTTTCTATATTCCTCGTGACGGCCGCGTCGTCATCCAGAACACCAAGACTGCTCCACGATGTCATAATTCGCACATCGTCAGAAAAACCAACCGCACCACGTCTCCAGGGACTTTCTAGAATCTTCTAGATCCTCCAAAACGTCTTACTGATGAGAATGAACACGAGAGCAAATTTGGTTTAGAAGGGGATAAGGGATCAAATAAATATTTTTGAAATTTTGAAAAAAAAACTGAATTCTATCACACAACAAATTCACTTTCGAAAAGTCCAGTCAGAAGGAAAAAGTCATTTTTCATTCCGAAAAGAAGGACCACACCCAACTTCAAAATACCACGTGTCATATCTCTTCTTCACTCCCTCCCGGGACCTCCACTCCTACGTCAGTCACCGGGTTGGGAGAGAAAAGAAGAGATTCTCAAAACAACAAAAACATTTTTTGTTTTCTCTTTTTTTCATTTTCTCTAAAGTATACAAATATTCAGAGTGCATCGTTGATCCTCCTTCCAAAATAGACTTTTTTTTGGAATCAATAGTCAAAACACAATGAATATGTAACGAACCGATCGGAAGTCACTCTCCAGAAGAAATAAGAAGAAGAAAGAAAGAAGAAAGAGAGATGAAAAAGAAAAACTCACTGATATTCATGATTTTGCGAGTTGATGTGGTTGAGGCAGTTGTCGTTGTTGAATAATTGGCCACGGACGATCGAAGGTCGTCGGATGGATTCTGGCGGCGTGGATACTGTACGAGGCTTGGGGAAGACGATGAAGATAATATGTCCTGATTGAGCTTTGTTCTCATCTGGTGTACCAGATGATCCACCTCATCACCGTTGTACGAGTCCTGAAAATTTAGAAGATTTTTGATTAAGGGACTGTATTTGAAAAGTATTATTTAAAAACATGGGTAAGCAACGGGGGAAAGAAGTATACAGTACCTAAAGACAGAATCTGAAGACTTTTGGAATTCGGTATTTTATGTTTGAAAGTCTGAAAACTATACAGTCTGATCAGTTGAAACTGAAATCTTGGCACATTATTTGGAGGGTACAACAATTTGAGTGTACAAGGGGCTAAAGTGATTAAGGGATACAAAATTCGGATTTTTTTCAGATTTTTTGTACCCTCGAATTGAGTATTTTGTACCACTAAATTGCTATGTATCCCAATGACCCCAAAAGTTTTGTACCCACCGAATTATTTGCAAGAAAATTGGAAAGTCTGATTAGTTGAAGCTGAGCCGCAGGCCGACGACCATGGTTCTGTCTACGACAACAAATCTCAGAAAAGATTTGAAGAAATTTTTCATGCAACAAAGCAATATGGTTTTTTAGAAAATTTCGGATACTGCCAATGTGATTTCTAAGTAATTCAAGTAATTCAAAACTCATTTAGACTTCATTTTTCATTTTTACCATTTCTACTTTTTTTAAAATTTCAATTCCTCCTCCAGACATTCATTTTTCCCTTCTTCTTCAAAAAACTTCACAATCACGTCGAGCCATCTTTTCCCCTTCTTCTCTTTCTCCCGTTTCAGTTTCAACCTAAATTTCGACTCGGAAAACTTTTGGTGCTCACTGAGCACTAAGAAGAAATCCTTCCAAGTTTTCATGCGGTTTTTCTCTGCCAAAAATAGACAAAAAAGGAAGAAGAAGAAGAAAAAAAGGACTTTTGGGGAAGGGAATTTTGACGTGAGCTCCGGGGAGAGCGCTTCCTAGAAGGATGGAGAGAGAGACACCAAATTAGTATCAGTTGGTCCTTTTTGGTATAAAAAATAAGATCCCTGGTGGATATGACAAAGAAGGAGAGCCGAGTATGATTAATTTTCAAATTTCTTTTTTTTCCTTCTTTCCATCATTATTCTTCTCATTTTTGGGAGAAAACCAATTCTCGGATTGGGGCTCCCATCATGTTTTTTGGCTTCTGAGACCGATAAAAATGAAATCGAAAGAAAACCGAAAGGGAGCCTCCGAAAAGAAACAAAAACATAAATTGGATAGTGAAGGAAACAAAAAAGAAAGAACAAGAAGAAGAAAAAGAAGAACGACGGGGGCAAAAAATGAAAAGGATGGGGGAAAGAATGGAGATGAAGCATTGTTGGAGAACGACATATGCATTCGACAATGCTGGAAAAAATGGGGAAACGTCATGATTTTTATGAGAGACTATGGGGAACATTTTAGAACGAGCCCAAAAAGTTTGAAAATTTGAAAGTTGTGAAGTACAGTATCTCTGATCTTTCAGTGGGAAGGCTCGGATTCGTCCAGTTTGAAATTTAGTGAACGTTTTGAAACACCTATAATTTGAGTTTTGTGGTTTTAAAACCACAAATTTCCGAATTCGCGACCGAAGATGCCGCAACAATAACTACAGTTTCCTAAAAATATGTTTATTTTTTTCAGTTTTATTTTCTAAATTCCTATACGTTTCCAGTCAATTCACTATCAAAAATTTTGATTTTTTCGACTTGTTTGGGAGAAAAATAACAGAAAAATAGATTTAGAATTTTTAAAATTTCCTAACCACACCTTCAGAATCTAGATTGAGCTCACTGCCATAGAAAACTATAATTTGATGCCGATTTTCAATTTTCAAGTGCACAACTTTGCAAATACTGCTGTCCCACAACAGGTGATTCTTCAAAATTTTTCGTATTTTCAAAACAAAAAAAGTGTACTTCTTCACAAATGATTGACAACTTGGAAAAAAACTAGCACCTTCTCAAATTTCGTCCCCGCACTTGCTCGTCCTCTCGCTTCTCTTTCAACTCAAAAAAACTTTGCAACGTTTTTTGAAATTTTTTTGTATCTAGTGTACAACATCAGTCACTACCAATTCTCAGGGACCAAAAAGAGAGAAGAAACAATTCAAAGAAAAAAAAGAAGCTTGTGGTGGTGGAGCATCTTTGCATAATTATGTTGGTGTGGAAATAACATGGAAAAGGAGAACAACAACAACAACAGAAGGAAGAAGGAGTGTAGGAGCAAAAGTTAAGAGTGCCCCTTCTTCTCCAGGAGAAAAGAAACAACAATCGATTCCATGCTTCTGACCCGGAATAAAAGGGGAAATATGGAGAAGAAGCAGACGATGGAAAACGAAGTAAGTTTTTCAGGACCAGAAGAAAGTGTCGAAAAGAAGAATGTGTATGCATTTCAATGTTTTTTTTCAATTCGAAAACGAAGCGAAATTGGAGCAGGATAGAAAGAGAGGGAACCGGACATTGGCAATTGAAAAAAGAAGAGAAGAGGATATAGAGAAACTACGGAAAACACGACGACAGAGAGGTATTCAACCGGAAAATTTGGAAAAGATTGGAAAACGTATTGAGACCAGATGCATGAAATTTGTTTGATAATCTCCTGGAATATTCTGGAGCACTGAGGGATTTTCGAGTGGGCTAAATGTCGAAGAAGAATGTTTTTTAAGCTTGATTTTAGGTGTTCTAATTAAAATTCGGAGATTATAAAATTGAAAGGTGGTCTAAACATTCTTAGTTCACAAAATAAGTTTTAGACAAAGTTGGCTATAAATAGACTTGTGATAGAAACAACCTGTAATAGATGAATAGATGGGCGCTCACACTGTCAAGATTGAGACAATTTTTCTTGGCTCCTTTGCGAGATATCAAAAATGTGTCAACTATTAAAATGTTTGCGATATTATGATAAACAATTTATCAATTGACAACTTTTCGATATCTTTTACGGAAAATGAAATAAATTAGCTCAAAGTTGAAAGCTATTGGGACCTTCTATGCCAGGTTCTCCGGATTATTTCTGCTGATATAATATTTTTGAGAAACCGTAAAAAAATTAAAATGCTACCTACAATTTTCGATTATTGTTAGCAGACTTTTTTGGAAACTCAACAGAGAGGTTTCTCGAAAAAAAAAACAGCTCGAAAGGAAACCGCAAAAAATTGGGTATCCCATAAAATCTAAAACCACGCTCAACTCAACTCTATTCTGAGACAGCTCCGAGCCATAAATCAGGAAAAATGAAGGATATGACCTCATAGGAATAGAAGCCCAAGAATCAGATGGAAACTCGAAGACTCGTGGAATTTCTGATGCCAAAAAAACCACTGTTTTACGGATCATACTGTAGCCTGTTTTCGAGGTTTTTTCAAAGGGGTCGCTAATATCATGAGATTCTAAAAACCGCATTTTTTTCAGAACTTGAGATCTGTTACGTTGTCTAAACTTGGTTATCCTCAAACTTTTTTCAGAAAGCTAACAACTAATCGTTGATCATCTGAACCGATGAACAATTCCATCCACCTCTTATGCCAAAATAAACGTCTCTCATCAATCAAGACCCACTCTCTTCCCTTTCCCGTATATGCCCCTCTTCCACTTCTATCTGAATTGAATGGAAGGGGATGAAGCAGACGGACTCATCTCGATTTGATTGAAGAGTCTCTATCCACTCCAGAAGCCCCCACATTTTCTTTTCAAATCGAAAGGAGAATACATACTACAAAAGCATCAGAAAAACAACAAACCTTGACAATACGCGACACATCAAATGGAAGTGTAGATGATGAAGAAGCGCTCAGAGCACTTGTCTGATTGCGATTCGCCGCTTTTTGCGACTCGGTCAGTCCTTCGTCACGGAGTTGACGAGCCAGGGAGTTTTGAACAAAGTTTCTGGCTTGAGCCTTCTGTTGATAGAAGTCGATTGGTGGTGGTGGAGGTGGTTGCTCAACTTCAGTGACATAGTTCGTTGTGGAATATTCATGGATCATTTCACGAGCATTGCGGATTGGGGATTGGGAGCGGCGGAATTTGCTGGAAACAATTTGATGATCCAATAGAAAATTTGAACCGGCCTAGAAAATCCTAAATAGCCTAGAAAAACCAAAATGGCCGAGAAACCCCAATTAGCCTAGGAAATCCAAAAATGACCTAAAAAATCCCGAAATGGCTTAGAAAATCCAACATGGTAGAGAAAAATTCAAAATGATCTAAAAATGGTCCCATTCGTTCGGCTAAATTTGTATTAAATCCCAAAAATAACATTTAATTTGAGAGCATGTGAAAGTCTGAACTTGGCAGGTATGCTCAACGGTTTGTTTTTGAAGAACTCAAAAACGCAAAAAATTTCGCAAAGAAGTTCTGAACATGAAATTTTTCAGTAAGAGTCCAAGAAACCGCCCAATAAAGAGCTTCAAAACTCTCCCCATCTTCTTACCTGGGTTCGTAAGGTTCTGACCATTGTAGTACGGTTTCTTTGTTTCCATATTTATTCGAATTGTTATTATCATTGAAGTGGTTCATTCCCGTTGATGTAGCCGTGGTTGCCGTGTTGTTTGTAAAGTAGTCGTCGTCTTTGTGATAGCTTCGGAAGTTTGTAGGATATGAGTGTTTAGAAGAATACGGAGAGACATAAGTAACATCATCAAGAACTGATGATGGTGGAGATGGAGACTTGTTTGCATATTGAGTTAATGTGGATGATGAGAATTTATTGATGGGACTATAATGAGAAGTTGGAGAAGAGTTTGGTGCGAGAAGAGCCTCTCGAGATGTCTGGAAATAACGATTTTAATGGATCTAGAAATATTTCGGAAATTTACTTGAAATTGGCTTAACGCCACGGGGTCTCGATGAAAGTCGCTGAGCGGACGAGATTGGTTGGAATAAGTGGGCGGAGCAGGAATCTGAAAACAATTGTATTGTAACTTTCAAATTTCCAATAAAACCTCTGCTCTGGTTTTCGGCTCAGCCAATTGTTGGAGCTGCGCGCGGTACGTCCGATCTCCGTCAGGCACTCGTTGATCCGATCGGTCCACTCGTCCATCGGATAGATTCTCGATGTCACTTCGAATCGGTTCGTTGTAGCCGGTCTTGCGCAGACGAGCGGCAGCGTGCTGTAGTGCCTGAGCGTCCACTGTGGGACGGGTGGGCTTGGGCGGCGCAGGTGGGGGATTGTTGTTACGTCGTGGTGCATTCTCTGTCTTCCATTTGCGAGATGGTACGATCTCTCCCTGCAACATATTTGCTGGTCATAGGTACGGGAAAACAGAATTTGCAATTTTAAATGGAAGTTAGGACTTGGCTGTTCACTACGCAAGGAAAGAACTTCATTTTTCTAGTTGACGAAAGTTTTGTATAACGTATTTGCTCTAATAGAAGCCTACCCCATACGTGTTTTGAGCTCAATTATCTCGTTTCCCATGAAAGATATAAAAAATCTGTCAACTGATAAATTTTTAATAATCATATCAGAAGTATTTTGTTAGTTGACATATTTTTGATATCTTGCATTGGAGCCAAGATAAATTAAATCATACTTGACAGTGAGGTCCCTTATATGTATTACAGGTTTAACAGTAAGTATGTCTTTGGTAAAATATTCGACGAATAATGATGTCTTCATTTTGATCTTTGGAGTTGTTTCCGTGATATCATTCTGATGAATTCTACGGAAAGATTATCAACGAAAAAGACGAAGCTTTTTTCTGTATTTTATTCGTACAAAGTTTCAGACTAAGCGGACAAGTTCTAATTGTTTCATGACCCCAAAATAGAAAATTATCTGAAATTTGAGCAAACCCTTCTCAATTCCATCTATTAAGAAATTGGTTTTATAATCCATTTTTGAAACTTACGGATGGGAGTAGAGGGGGTGGTGGAGGCGGAGGCGGGGGTCCCATAGATCAGCCGAGTCGTCGTACGAACGAGGAAGAGTGCTGTAAGAGCGAGCACGTCCCAAGCTGAAATAACATCATGAAGAAAAGTTCTACACCAGTTTTCATCCATCACATAGAACAACACATTTGAAAACAAAAGATGGAAGAACTCGAGTCAAAATTTAACAACAATGAGAGGAGCGAACAAACAACAGAAAAGGTGTCAATTTTCATTAAAAACGATGTATACCTTGGACTGGAATAATGAGGAAGAGGAGAGAGGTAACTCATATTAGGAGAAGACCTGAGTCGTGGGACGAGGAGTCGACTGAATAGAAGTTTAGTATGTTTAGAGACTCTTCTTCAATGGAAAAGAGATAGAGATGGGTTCCCAGGAAGAGGCTGTGGCATGACACTGAACCTTGCTGATTGTCTGCGATCTCTCGAATCGACACAGTGTTTCGATTCTCCCCACCGGGAGCCCATTTTACACTTTGGCTCACAAAATTCGACTGATGGCAGGAAAAGAGGGAGGGAGAAGGAGATTACAAAAAAAGACGAGGCTCCCGGTGCCAGCGGAATGGCGACAACGAGAGGGATAAGCGATTTGGGATGAAGAAAAGAAATTGGCGATTGATGATATGGATGGGTGGAAGAAGAAAAAAAAAAGAAGAAGAGATCACAGCATCTGTGCATGAAAATGTTTTTGAAAAAAAATTGAATGCCACGTGGATCAGATTTCTGGGGACCAAGAAATTTGAGGGGTTGGGGATCTTCAAGTTGTTTCAGTCTTTGAAAATTAAAGAAAAACAATAAAAAAAAATACTTTGAAAATAATTGTTTTTCCTAAATTCTGACTTTAGTGAGCAATCAATCAATTTTGGCAGTTTTTTCTACTTTTTACAATTTTTTTTTCGATTTTGCTATTTTCAAAAATTCGACAGTTGTTTATAAGTTACAGTATTCTTCATCGGAACTAATCTTGAAAAAAATTTCTAATTCCTAAAAATCTCTAACAAGTATCTTAAAGTTATTTTCCAACCTAACCGTAAAATATAAAGTCCGCCTAATGCGGCATTTCCTCTCTGAACGCATTGCAAACAACGATAAAGCATTGGAAAATTCAGAAAAAAAGAGAAAAAACGCCTGTGGTTTTATGTTTGGTATAGTGTACCTTCTTCTTCTTTTCCTTTGCACAAAAATTTTATTGGGGCAGTTTCTCCCTTTTGATGAAACATGAAATTGAACGAAGAGGTGTGTCTTCTTCATTTTCGAGGAAGATTCCCATGAACAAAAAAAAATAACAAAAAAAGTCTGGAATTCGAGAAAAAAAGAAACAAAAACATACAGAGAGAAAAACGGAACTACGTGTTTTCCGACTTACTGCCAGAAACTCTTCTGCCCTCTTTTCCCCGAGGTAAAAAGGAAGATGATGATGAAGAACCGGAATTTTTCTGTATGCGAGAATCGAGCAAACAACCTAATGATTTGACAGCATGAATCATGGATCTTTGAACTTTGAGAAATGGTATCAAGAAAGGTGAAGAAGTTGGGTGGTAACAAGAATTTCGAACCAAGAAAAAAATGAGAATACCGTAAAAGCTCCATTCTCTACTTGCACTTTGAGCGCAATTATTTCGGTTCCTATAAGAGATATCGAAAATTTGTCAACTGATAAAGTATTGCTAATACTATGATAAATAGTTTATCAGTTTGAACTAATTAAAATTTTTTTTTGATATCTCTTACAGAAAGTGAGAAAACTGAGCTCAAAACGCAAGCTTATGGTAGCGTTCTTTAACTTTGACTTTCTTGTCGGTCTTTATTTTCGAGAATAAAAGGGAAACTGTCCGAAACATTTAAAGGATTAGCTGGAATTACTTCAATTGCAAATGCGGGAATTACTTTTAACAGAAAAATAGCTTTCAAAGAATCTCAAAACACAATTTTTGTAAAAACAAAATATCAGCTTAATGTTTCAGATTTTCAGAATACCAAAATTTGATTTTTCCGACATCTGAGAATTCCTAGATCCAAAAACTTCATGGTCCATAAGAAGAAACCACTCCAACAGAATAACCTCATACAAACCGTTTGAAAAAAGATACCGAAACAAAAACCAAACTGTTTGTTCACTTGTTCATTTACGATGAAATACCAATCTGTATTATCGGTGACCGCGGGATTAACCCAAAAAAAATAGTAACGAAAACCAAGAAGAAGAGTATGAGTGTGTGGTTGAATTGACACGAAAAAATAAACCGGCAAACTGGCTTATCTATTTTGAACATCTCGTGTTTCTTCCTCAATTCGGTTCTTCGGAATACCACAACAATACAAATTACTGTATTCAATAGAGAGGGAGGGGAAAGTTGCGAGAAAAAGGGAAATCGGAAAGAGAAGATAATTGGAAAATTAGGTGCGAGACTTTCCAGGATTGGCAGGGAATTTGATGATGGAAAGTGAATTTAGGTCGGGAAAGAAATGCAAGGGAAAAAGGATATTATTGGCTTGATATCATTTCGAGAAGTGATAAGAGAAAATGAAAATATTCGGAAAAAGATAATCTTAGATTGGAAATGAAGATGGGAGGAAGCATGGGCGTTGAAAAGAAATAGATACGGAATTATGCGGTTAGAAGGGAAGAAGAACTGTCCATGTATGTGTTCGTTTTTACACTACATTCATAATATGTATATACAAACTTGTATTACAGAGAGAAAATAGGAAAAGAGGAGATAGTGTCAATGTACAGCGAGGTTTTAGTTTTCATGTTAATTAGCCGGTTTACCTAGCGGGTGGGATTCGACAGATATAATTCACAATTGCCACCAATTAATCAAACATCAAAGTTTTTTTTGAAGGGGGCAGGAACCTTTTTTGAAAAAAGGGAATAGATGATTGATGAAAGGGAACTGGATAATACAGCTGTTTGGACGATTGATCTTAATTATATTGAATGTGTTTGAAGTTCAGTGAAAATTCAAGTTTATTTTCCAATTTTATTTGAAATATTACCGGGTAAATTGTCGAGAAAAATTGAACAAACATCAATTATTTGAATTTTAGCATAAAAACATTACTAGTTTCACAAATTGAAAAATTGAGTCTATGCGAAACCCCTCTCGATTCTTTGAACTAAATTTTCCGTAATCACTCTAATAGAGATTCTAACTTGTAGTTATAAGCCAATTTATCTCGGTTCATATGAAATATATGGAAAGGTTGTCAACTGATAAATTCCTAATCACAGTATCACCAATATTTAATCAGTGGCCTCATTTTTGATATCTCTTATACGGATCGAGATAATTATGCTCAAACGTGACAGTGTGAGGACCCTTCTATTACAGGTTTTACGATATTTCAGAATCACAGTCCTATCCTTACTCGATATATGTCTCATAGTCATTTAATTCGATGAAATTTCTAGAAATTCGAGATCTAAAACTCATCAGAGAGTAGACGACCTGATCATAATCTAAGTATTTATCTTGAATATATCTAACTATTGGAAATTTTTAGAAAATAAAAGTTTCTTATTTTAAAACAGTTGTACGAGAAAGGTTTTTTGAAGTTTCATAGTTTTGAATTTTGAACAGAGATCCCAGGAGTTCAGACCCCAAGAGACTGTTCATTTCTTTGGCCAAAGGGAAAATTGAAAAAATGGAAACGTCCACTTTATGACTCAAACCGAACATCGGGTCATTTCGCCCAACACATAAAACTTCAACAGAATAAAAATCCATCTATGACCGCAGAAAAATTCAAGCCAAGTTTAGATAGATGACTCATGTTCTTCTCTTCCACACCTGCTGTTCGCGCAAAATTTTGATAAGGAACAGAGACGCAGAGACGGGACAAAAAGGCATCCCGCCGAGAAATGATAGACATGAAATAGAAGAAGAAAGTTGTGGGTGGATGAGTGAACAGACATCTGGGATCAGGAAAAGAAAAAAACAAGAGAAATCGAGTTCAGAGTTGAAACAAAATCAATAATTTCAACTACAAGAGGTCCCGTTTCTCCGCGCGGTCAACCGCGGTGTAAAACTCGTTGTAAGTGATGGATCCATCCGAGGGGGAGGTCCACTCCCGTTCTTTTGTTTTGTGGCAAGAGCTCTTTGGAGCAAACAATTCAAGAAGTAATGGAGATGGTCGGAGGAAGACAAGAGAAGAAGTGATTGTTGAATAAAGAATGGAGGCGTATTTGCACTTTTTGAATAGGTAATGGGTGGGAACGATGGTCAAGTAGGTGGGAAATGCCATGAATCAGAAATCAGTGAGAAGGTTGATTGCTTTGAAAATTCAGATGGTAATATTTGAAGCAGGAGTGAGGGCAAGAAGTTAGGAATTTCGAAAAAATATTTGAGCTTAGCATTCCAAATCTTTTCGGAATGGGTGAAGATACAGTACCGTGCAATAAGATATACAATTCGTGTTTTTCAACTGTAACTTTCTTCAAAATAGAGCTGAAGCGTCAAACTTTTTTGTGAAATATAGCAAGTCTCCCAAGAAAAATGAAACAAAAACACTCTCAACTTGAAAAATAAAAGAAAAAATTTTAGTTTAAAAAATTCACTTTTTGAAAAACTTCGGATTTTCGGGTCATTTTTTAAAAAATCTGGGAAAAATAGAAAACGGTGATGAATGTGAAATATAACATTTTGAACATTATAAAAGAGACTTTGACCGACTTTTAAGCAAATCATGAATCATTGAAGTACAATTCCGTGTATGGAACGGCTGCTCGAAATGTCAACTAGAGGTTTCCGGCTTCTGGGCTTTTCCAACTATCGTTGTCCAATTTCAAGTTGTCAATGTTTGGTTATTTTTATTTTTTTATTATTTTTCAGATGTTTTTCTACAATATATTCTTATTTATCACTCAAAAGATGTTTCTTTCTGCTCCAAAAAATGATTTTATAAATTGAGAGGCAAGCAAAAACAAGTATGAGGGTTACTTTTATTCATCGTGTCAGAGTCGGCTGCTGGAATTTGATACTTTTTTCAATAGATGTCAATAATACAGTTCCGTTAAACCCTATAAAACATGATGTTGAAAAACACGAATTGTATATCTTATTGCATGGTACTGTAGTTGTTGAAATTTCTTCTGAAAATTTTGAGAGGTACACTTTTCTGATATGAAATTCTGAAATTCTAGGAACCAGAACATTTCAAAATTATGAGTTCTAACCATTTCCTAAATTTTTTAGCTATCGAAATTTGACGTTCTGAAATTCCGAAGTGATAAGAAGATTCTAAAAATTTTGAAGTGAGAATTCTTTGACGGCATTGAACTATCTCTCAATTCCAATATTCCAGTTTTTCAGAACATTAAATCTGGGAACCTCAGAATCTCAACAGTTTATATTTTTCAGTTTCTGGGTCTCCGAAAAATAGAACTTCAAAGTCAAAACTTCAAAAACTGAAAACCTCCAAATCTCAGAAAAAATCTGGATTTCAAATTCTCAAAAATTTCAGAATTTCAGAGTCTTCGAATGTCCGAACCTCAGACTGTCCTTCCAAATATGTCAGCAACTTTCTGAATCTGTGAATATGGTAATCCCTAATTTCATAATCCCACTTTTTCCTACAGGTTTTCCTGATCCAGAAACTATAATCCCTATTTTATTGTTCCCTTTATTTTCCAGTTCATCCATTTCCTCCTATATGAGAGATCGCTACCTATGTATCCTCTTTTATCTATTTTCATCCATCTCCATGCATTTCCAAGTCATCACCTTCTTCCCGTGTCAGTCCTTCCTCCCACATTAAACAAACGCGCTCTACCGCACATTCCAAATTTTCGTCAGTTTTTTCATCGACTTTCATCGTATTTTTTGGCTTAAAAATGGTTTGTCTACCATGTATTTTCCTGCCAATTATGATGGCGATTTACATGAAATTCATCATGCCATATGTGTACAGGTTTGTTATTTATCAAAAGTTTCAACAGAAAAAAAACAAAGAAAGTTTTCAGATTCCTTCCAGAGCGATGGGTCCACTTCCTTGACCCGATTCTCTATCCAACGTGTCCAATGAAGATTCCAGAGCAGGAGAAAAAGGAAGAAGAAGAGGAAAAGGGTAATTTTTATTCTCAAATTAAAACAAATCTTCAAATTTATTCAGATTTTATCGATGGAAAAATTAGAAAAAAAACCATTTAAATTGTAATTCCAGAGAAATCATGCTGCTCCACTGAAGCAGAAAACACAACGGAAGTCACAACGGAAACGAAAAAAGATCAATAATTTACATATTCTTCAAGATTCTGTGATTTTTTCTCACTTTTTCTAAATATTGAATATTTCGATTGGAGTCAACGCAATTTTCTCGCCATTCTCGTTGTAAATAAAGTGATTTGTATTGACAGTTGTGGAGAAATACCAGGAGTTATGATTTCCGTATCGGATGAAGTAGAATCTGGAAATTTTATGAAAAGGAATAAATTACGAAGTGGAGGAAGAAATTATGCTAGAAAATCGATTTAAAAATTGCTTACCCATTCGATGGAACAGTATATTTCCACGAGTCAACTTGCGAGAGAGCAGGTCTCTCGCAGCCGACAGTCATCTCACGCCATGAATTCATATCTCTCTGAAAATTAAAAAATTCAGAATCAAGAAACATAATTGAGCTACCGTATCATCCTCGCTATGAAACATGAAATAGTGGAAAGAGCTCTCATTATGAAGGAAGAATTCAATTTCCTGTCCCTTCTTCCATTCGAATTTTTGAACGACATACTTTCCAGCTGGAACACTAATAGCTACCAGATTGACTTTCTCTTTTTCCTCTTTCTTATTGGTTTTTGGGAATGGGGCAGATGGAAGAGACGTCTTCCGAGGGAGTTCACCTCCCAAATCGGAAGGAAGGAAACTTTTATCGACGTGCTTCTGAATTGCGTCGATTGCCGACTCCGAAGTGATCACAATTTTTTCCTTATAATCATCCGGAAGGAAAGGAGAGCATGCAGAATGGAGCACATTCACAAATGATGGAGCATTTACTATTATAATCTTCTGAAGGAGTTGTGGATAATGATCGAAAAGTGTTCCCCACATGATACGGTAGGGTCCAGTGAGAACTGAGATAAGTTTAGTGCTAAATGAGATTCCATCCAAATCCATCACAAACAATCCGCCACTTTGACGTCCCGTTTTTCGTTCCGCCGCTACCACTTTTTGATGGACACTCTCCATCATCTTCAGCTTGATTTGCATGAACTTGTGCATCTATAGGGATTAGAAGAATTGACAAGTCTTCTGGAGAAGAGCGACTTACCAAAACATTGTCCACCAATCCACTTATATCAATCTTCCCAGTTCTTTCGAACATCAAAACTTTGTTATCATCGGGATGATTTTGTCCAATCACATCAATTGGGACATACTTGTTCAGTTCATCTTCTTCTAGTTCGACTTTTTCAACAAATGAATTCAGGTCGATAGTCTTGCGAATGTTCAGATGACGTTTGAGAGCCTGTAAAAACATTTTCATCTTTTGAAAAGTTCTTGAAAAGATTTCGACCACGGCAGGACTCGAACCTACAATCCCCAGATCCGAAGTCTGGTGCCTTATCCATTAGGCCACGCGGCCATATTTTATCTAGTCTCATAGTTTGAACTTTATTTACAGGATAAATGACTTATCAACTAACCTTTGCTGCCTCTTCCTCATCATTTCCATAGGCTACCAACCACCTGTAGACGTTGAATTCATGAGCACAGTAGTCTCGTCACGACCATCAATAGAATCAATGATACGTAGAATTGCCTCCTTTTCTGTGGGACTTGGAGACATTTCGACTTCTTCTTTTTGGAGGAAGAAGTGCAAACTGAATTCTTCTACATACACACCGACAACGATGGATCCAGATTGGGATCTGTACACCCGTGTAAATCGGAAAAGAAGAAAATGAGATTTGGAATCCTGATAGGATGAACACATCGCTCTACCGGAATAGTTTATGTATTCAGTGGAGCTAATTTGCATATAACCATTTATTTTTTTCCCCTCTCTATTTCAAATCGAAGTTTGACCTTCGGTGGTGATTTATCTAACGAGTCTTCTGCCAGTGCATAAGAGTACACATGGCTCTTCTTTCTAAATTTTATTGCTCCTAACATTTGGTTGATGCTTTCTCAACATATCTCATCGATGCCTTTTCGATTTTTCTTATTCTTCTCGCACCGATCACCACCACATATATAAACTATAAAATGCGTTGAAACTGGTGTGAAATTGAGAGATGACGAAGAAGAAGAAGACGAGGACGATTTGACGATGTTATTTTGCAACCGAGTGTCATTTTGACACAGACGCAGACTAGCATACACCCAAAACTCTCTCCCTATAACACCGTGTCCATCCGAAGAGGCCGGTTACGATATTTGCGCCCCCATCCTCCGCTTTTTGCCTCCCTGTCTTCTTCCCCCCACTATTCTTCATCCGCCTGTGTCTCTTTTTTCCTATTCTTTTCCGTCATTTTCGAGTACTCTTTTCTCTTTTGCGTGTTGCATGTGTATGTATTCCGAACAGTTTGATTGGAGCTTTTTCGTAATGTCCAATTCAAGTTGGAGTCTGTTCAAGTTTTGAGCTAAATTTTTACTGTATGTGCATTTTGTCGTAAATCATGAGACATTGTGTGCATGCACCAGAGGCGCCTTTTCAACATTATCAAGCCGCGAAAAAATATTTTTCGCTATTTTTTGGAGATTTTCAAAGATTTTCAGAACTTTTTTCTTTTTTTCCTCAAATTTTCAATTTTCTAGTCATTTTCCTACAAAAATTCAAAAATCCTTCCGATATGAATCCAAAATTTTGTGTTAAAGTGAGAAATATGGTTTTTCTTGCCGTTTCCTCTCCGTATAATAAGGTTTCCACTAACTTTCCCTTTCTCATTATTTTAATATAAATTTCTAGGTTTTTTTTTCAAACTTTAAAAAATTCTAATTAAATATTAGTTTTAAAAAGCTGACCTTCCTTCTCTCCCTAACGAGGTTCAAATTTATTTTCTTCCGTCCGGTTGTATATGAAATATAATCCGCCCAATCGCAATTAGTGTGACATTTGGCACACCATTCGGCGCCGGCATTATCACAGAAATTCGACAGCAGTGTGCCGTGCACACGTCCTCTTCTTCAAAGTCGCCTGGCTTCGGTCCGTTCGTGGTGGTCACTCTCTGGGTACTCCTCATATTGCACATACACTGTTCACTGGTTCCCCCCGTCACTCCAACAACACAACAGCACATTTCAATTGCATTGGTCATCGAAGGCTTGGGAAGAAGGGGAAGGCCCTGGGCGAGCGCACTCTCTGGTGTCTCCTCACGGCCATCGCTCTTCCCAATTACCCTCTTTAAATCTTCACTGATCTTCCTTCTCGTAGAAAAGCACATAGCAAGTCTGTCTCTAGTACTTGAGCGATTATTTTATTCCATTTTTTTTGTTACCACTAGATTTCGTAACTCTCATAACTGGAACTACTTCTGTTTCGAAATTTTCCAGTTTTTATTCAAGCTCAATATCATAAAAGACCTACAAAATTGTATGGAATTTGACACATTCCAGCATAACTGCTGATAATACATTTTCCTTTTTTCCTTATCATTCGATTAAACGTTCAACTTGTAGTTCTTCAGGAATTATGCGTTGTCCAACAGGTCAGTGCGTTGCTCATTTCGAGGTCACCCTTGCTCTTTTTCCAGATCAATGATTTTATTGCCAGTTTGAACTTTAACGATTCAAATTGTCTTGTTAATCGATCGATCTTCATCTAAAGGCATATCATTTTGTCCGTCGGAAAGCTCATTGGCTTGTCGTGTTGAGCCCCCGCTTTGTCCCTTAATTTGTCCCCACCCTTTCGAAAAGCTCGTCTTATTCTCAAGCATGGAAGCCATTTGGGGTGGGTCTGGGAGAATATTTCCCATCCTTTTTTCGAGAGATTTAGTGTTTTTGTCCTTGATTCACCGTGTTATTTATCTCCTTCTCCCGATCTTACTAGGCCCTCCATTTGTAAAAAAGGAAGACGAGAGAGACATATGAAGGCTCGGAGGTGCGAAATAAAACGCCCCCTGAAGATTGATTTCGCAAGAACTTCTTCTTTTTCTCTTTTGTCTGTAGTACTCCTCAATCTTCTGATTCATTTTCTCACTTCGGACGCCTTCTCTTGCGGTCAATATTTTTTGGTGTGGCTAGACGGCGCCTAGTCGTCATCTTGATATTGTTTCTGAATCGATACTTTCTTGTACCGAGTGTGAGTTGCTTATCGTTTCTTCGGCCGTCTCAGTTCCTCCAGTTCACTCAATACCGGCAAGTGTTTTGTTTCGATGCGATCGTTTCTCTCTTCCTTTTTTATCGTTGTGTTGGTTCCTACCGGTTTCGTGTGCCCCATTTCTCAACCCGCAAAGAGTCCCCAACGTTCACTTCTCCGAAATCGAGCCTAATTTCCGTTTGGTTTAATCGAGGAAAGAGCTCTCCGAGAAGACGATGGCGGTGACTGCGAGAGAGAAATGAAGCGAAAACATGAGTAAAACATTCAGTTGGTCAGTTGCAGCAACATCGGGTTTTATGGTTTTTACGAAGGCCCACATTCACTTCGAGATGGCTCGCAAACAAGTTTTTGCGGGCTTCTTTTTCTTTTTCGTAATGGGGGTTAGACCGGCAGGATTATATTCAACTTGTTCTCATTTTCTAGATCGACCCTTTGTTATTAGCAAGACCAATCATGATTTTGAATTTTTTTCTTTGCTTTTCCCACTAAAAATCTCACCTGCCTCCAAACTCAGGCATCAAATGGGGCGGAAGTAGATGTCGTCTTCTGTGCGAGCACGACAATTTTTCAGTCAAAAAGGTTGTTTTTATTCTGTTTGCTTTTTCCTTTTTCTGGAACATTTTTCTTCTTGTCCCCGAAAGTTGTTTCGTCAAAAGTAGTTTCCTCCTCCTTTGGAACACCAAAACGGCGCATTTCCTCTTTTCTCCATACATGTGGATGGCCGGGCCGTTTAGGACAACTTTTCGAAGATTGTATTTTTCGAATGTGCCAAAATATTTATAATGGCACAAATATTAATCCAAATGCATACAACCATCCGAAAAAGTCAATTTAATTGAATTTTTAGCAAAAAAATCAAACTTCATTAAGCCAAGGATGAAACTTTTTTTCTAATTACGACTTCAAAACAGTTTTTGTCGAAAGTATCGGCTTCTAGTGTGGATTTTCCTTCACTAAGAAGATAACCCATCTTGAAAAATGATGATTCGCTCTAAAATTTCAAATTTTCAAAAAGCAAATTACACATGGCCGGCCATGTGTAATTTTTTCCGGCCCGGCCCGCGGGCCGGCCATCTTTTCCACAAGTATGATTTTCTCTCCACTCTCTGTGGAGCCGTTTGCACATTTAAAATTGCATTATCATGGTTTTGAATCGAAGTGGAATTTTGGGAATTCCCTGAGCCCCCTTTCCTTTCCTTTTCTTTCTATTCTTAGCGATATATAGATGTGGTGTATAAAATGGAACGGCATAAGCTGACTGCTCAATGGGCTCTCTCCTTGCGACACCACTAACCCTCTTGAAATATGGCCTCATTCCGTCCTGCCCCTCTCATTCTGTCCTTGGTCCGTCCCCAGTCTCAAAACCGATGGACGTCGTTGACTTTACATTTCATCTCTTTTTCCCCATTCTCTCCATTTCTACCTTTTCGTTCAATGTGGCAGCACAAAAAACACTAAAAGGAGACAACACTGCAAATCATAATAAATGCAAAGCAGTAGATTTTTCGGCCTTCAGTCTTTTTTCCAACCACTCAATATTGAATGTCAGAACGAAATGGGCTTGCTGGTCGTAGAAGATTCGTCTTCCTTTTTTTCACCTAACCCAAGTGTTTCCTCCCCTATTTGCTCTCTTGCTCTTTTTCGGCCAGTTGGGTTTTAACTTTCGACTCTTTTAGAAAACCCTTCAATAATATAACTCTTGAGTTTTATTCAAGTTGATTTGATCCCTTGAAATCCTTCATTTCATATGATTTACAAAGAGAAAAGTGATTATAAAAAAGTATCGAAAAAGCGACGCTTTCTCGAGTGCAAATATTTGACGGATTCCCAGTCGGCAATCAGTTGGCATTTAGTTTGTTTGAAATAGGTTCATGCCGGCCCAGTCGGAAAGAATTTAGTTATCAAAGATGATAAAGTTGATGAAAAGTTGATTCCATTTTTTCTAGAAAGAGAAACGCCGGTTGTCGTGGCTGGAGGTCCCACAACGACAACTACCGTAACCTAAAACTGTATTTTTCCCGGATTTCTCCTTTCGATTTTCGTGTGTTTTCAGTCAATTTTTTCACTCTGAAAAAAATGTATTTTCGACTTGTCATGGGAAAATTTACAGAAATTTCGACGAATATCATGATATATATAAGTGAAAAACGAAAAAATAAATACAGTAATGGGGTTATTCAGGGAGTCGACAAAAAAGGAAAAAAACTCC